TGTCGGGTTTCACCATCTTCTCATTCATAGGTGGGAGTGGAGTGGGGGGAGGGCGGGAAGGGGTTGGAACTTGAACGAGTGGCTTCACGCAGCCACCTCCCCGATGTGGAGTGGGGAGGTTCCTATCCTATGGAATGGAATGAGATGAAGTGGAATGTGCTCTGTTAGACCTGAAAGAACAAGGCCCAGTGCCCACTGCCTCTTCCCCAGGTGCATGCAGACGCACACTCTGTTTCTGTCACACACACACACACACACACACACACACACACACACACGTGCGCACAGGGCTGGGAATCTGACCTGCTGACCGGACATTTGTCCATTCTGAGGGAGTCAAGCGTGGACACCGAACCCTTTCCCCGGACGTTCATCTCGCCCTCCCTCCTCCCTCTGAACCCACAGGAAACAGCTGCTCCTTGGCAGCTTGGGCCTTGCAGAACAGCTTGCCCAGCCCCCGCTGCTGCCTTCCATGGCTTCTGCCCCAGCCCTCAAGTTGAGGGGCTCCAGCTTCACACTCCCTCTGGGTGAACTTCCCCTGGGATTTTGTGGTTGGCAGGCAACTTGGGCAAAGAATAGTCACCAGGAAGCAGGCTGGAAGGAAGAACTTTTTTTTTTTTTTTTTGAGACTTAAGTCTCATTCTGTTGCCCAGGCTGGAGTGCAATGGCAGGCTCTCTGCTGACCACAACCGTCGCCTCCCGGGTTCAAGCAATTCTCCTGCCTCAGCCTCCTGAGTAGCTGGGATTACAGGCAAGCACCACCACGCCTGACTAATTTTTTTTTTTTTTTTTTTTTTTTTGAGACGGAGTTCCGCTCTTGTTACCTAGGCTGGAGTGCAATGGCGCGATCTCGGCTCACCGCAACCTCCGCCTCCTGGGTTCAGGCAATTCTCCTGCCTCAGCCTCCTGAGTAGCTGGGATTACAGGCACGCGCCACCATGCCCAGCTAATTTTTTGTATTTTTAGTAGAGACGGGGTTTCACCATGTTGACCAGGATGGTCTCGATCTCTCGACCTCGTGATCCACCCGCCTCGGCCTCCCAAAGTGCTGGGATTACAGGCTTGAGCCACCGCGCCCGGCCTGCCTGACTAATTTTTTTGTATTTTTAGTAGAGACGGGTTTTACCATCTTGGTCAGGCTGGTCTCAAAACTCCTGACCTCGTGATCAACCCACTTTGGCCTCCCAAAGTCCTGGGATTACAGGTGTGAGCCACCGAGCCAGCCTAGGAAGAACTTCTTGAATGTGGGATAGGATTTCCTCCTCCCCTACCCCCCAGCTCCACCCTAGCCACCTCTCACATACCCCTTTTCTTCCCCACAGATCTCACCGGTTGTGCATCAATGTACCTCCACACAGAGGGCTTCTCCGGGCCCTCTCCAGGTGACGGGGCCATGGGTAAGGCAGTTCCCCTTCCCCTGCCAAGCCCTCCGTGTTGGGGGAGGGTCTCCCTGGCCAGGATTCCCTCTGGACTCTGGGGTTTCATCAGTGAACCCCCAAATCTGAGCAACCCCTAACTTCCTCTACAAGGCTATGGCTATGAGAAAACTCTGCGACCATTCCCAGATGATGTCTGCGTTGTCCCTGAGAAATTTGAAGGTCAGAGAAGTGACTGTTCATGGGAGGGTCAAGGTCTTAATATGCTGTGTCCCGGAAGGAGTCACATCACGTTTCATGGTTGCAAGAGGGTGGGACCCATAGAAAAGTGCCTTGGGAGACCCCTTGAAAAAATCCCTGGGGTGAGGGGAGGCAGTTGCTTGGGGGACCAGAAGACCCAAACCCCACACCTCCTATTTTCATGTTCCCCAGGAGACATCAAGCAGGAAGGGATTGGTGCATTTCGAGAGGGGCCACCCTACCAGCGCCGGGGTGCCCTGCAGCTGTGGCAATTTCTGGTGGCCCTGCTGGATGACCCAACAAATGCCCATTTCATTGCCTGGACGGGCCGGGGAATGGAGTTCAAGCTCATTGAGCCTGAGGAGGTGGGCCTCTCAGATATCCCCTGCCCTCCTTTCCAAAGTTGAGGGCCTGGAGATGGGCGGACCTGGGGAATGGTGGCACGTGCCTCCACCATGATCCTTGCTTTACCTGACTGGAATTCTTGCCAAGCCTAAGTTTATGGGCTGATGCTTTGTTGCCGGGCTGGCTTAGTACTTTGCACCGAGAATCTCAGTGCTCTTTTTGACCTTTCCCCCATTTTTTTTCCTCTGCCAAGGTGGCATCTCCACCCCAAAACTCTTTTATCCCCAGGTTGCCAGGCTCTGGGGCATCCAGAAGAACCGGCCAGCCATGAATTACGACAAGCTGAGCCGCTCGCTCCGATACTACTATGAGAAAGGCATCATGCAGAAGGTGGGGGCTGTGGGTCCAGGGACAAGGTGGTGGGGGCAGTGGCTGTGGGAAGCTAATGAAGGAGAGGGTCAGAAGGGCAGCCCTCAGCAACTCTGCAGGATCAGATAATGAATCGGTCAGAGGGACAAGAAATTGTGGACAATCCCAAGGTTTTCCTCTCCCAAAAAAGTGCTCCACCGGAACTGAGAAGCCCCAAGCAGGGAGACATTGAAATGAAAAAGGAGTAAGAACTGTGAAGGGAAAGTCAGCTTCTCAGGGGAACCAGCATGGGAGAGAAATGCCCTGAGCATCTGCCTGGACTGGTAGAAGGCTGCATTTCCCACTCCCCCACCTTACCCCATACCAAGGCTGCGGGGCTAGCCAAGCTGACTAGCCCTTCTCTCTCCCCATAGGTGGCTGGAGAGCGTTACGTGTACAAGTTTGTGTGCGAGCCCGAGGCCCTCTTCTCTTTGGCCTTCCCGGACAATCAGCGTCCAGCTCTCAAGGCCGAGTTTGACCGGCCGGTCAGTGAGGAGGACACAGTTCCTTTGTCCCACTTGGACGAGAGCCCCGCCTACCTCCCAGAGCTCGCTGGCCCTGCCCAGCTGTTTGGCCCCAAGGGTGGCTACTCTTACTAGCCCCCAGCGGCTCCTCCCCCTGCCGCAGGTGGGGTGCTGCCCTGTGTACATACAGTTGAATTTGGTGTTGGGGAAGCCTTCATCTGAAACCCACAGATGACTCTGGGCAGATCCCCACTGTCCTACCAGTCGCTCTGGCCCAGACTCTGAGCTGCTCACCAGTCACTGGGAAGGAAAAGTGGAGAAATGGCAAGTCTATAAAGGTGGAGTCTCAGAAACCCCTGGGGGCGCCACCGGGGCCCTGGGGGAATTCAGCTCAGCTTCTTCCCAGGTCCTGCTTCCAGTGTCCAAGCCCCTCACACCTTTTCCCCAACCACAGAAAACAAGAGTTTGTTCTGATCTGGGGGACAGGGAAGGCGCTTCCCAACTTAAACTGGCATGAGGGAGAGGAGGTTCGCTGAGATTCCCCAGCTCTTCCCACTTCGGGGAGACAGAAGCCTGGACTCTGCCCCAAGCTGCAGCCCCGGGTGGGTCCCAGCTTGTCAGTTCTTGGTGCTCTGTGTTCCTGGAAGCAGGGGGAGGTCGAAGAAAGGAACCTGGGATGGGGGGTGCTGGGTGGAAGCGGAGAGGGATGGGTTCCTGCTCCAAGGGGCCCGTTGCCTTTCTTCTGCCCTTTCCTAGGCCCAGTTTCCACTTCCACCTCCACCACATCTGCCAGACCTTAATAAAGCCCCATTTCTCCCGTTAGTTATCCTGCGTCCTCTTTGCTGTCCTATGAAAACAGACCTGGGGATGGAAAGAGCTCTGGCCTTGGAGCAGAGCTCACTGGTTTGGGGCCAGGCCCCTGACATTTAATCCCCATGTGGATTTGAAAAAAGGCACCTATTTCTCTTCTGAAAAATGGGCTTAATGATACCTGCCCTTCCCCCTTCCCAGCATCACTGTGTGAAGATCCAGAAATAATGGACAAGGGTACTTGATAACCTGGACAGGCGTCCCTTGTGCGTTTTCGGCCTGCTTCCTGCAGCAGTCTCCCCGGCCCTGTGGGTGGGGCAGGTGGGCCACTGAGTTGCAAGGCTCTCCCCCTGGGACTTTTTTTTTTTTGAGACGGAGTTTCGCTCTTGTTAGAAACTGGCGCAATCTCGGCTCACTGCAACCTCCGCCTCCTGGGTTCAGGCAATTCTGCCTCAGCCTCCTGAGTAGCTGGGATTACAGGCACGCGCCACCATGCCCAGCTAATTTTTTGTATTTTTAGTAGAGACGGGGTTTCACCATGTTGACCAGGATGGTCTCGATCTCTTAACCTCATGATCCGCCTGCCTCGGCCTCCCAAAGTGGTGGGATTACAAGCTTGAGCCACCGCGCCCAGCCCCCCTGGGACTTCTTCAGGCAGGGTTTTGGTTTTTGGTTTCTGTGATCCTAACTGTTCCCCTGACCCTGCTGCCCCACATAGACCCCAATTGCATGTCCTACATCCTACCTCAGCTCCTAGGTTGCTACTTTTGCTGAGGTTGGGAACAACTGTTTGTGGAGAATGGGCCAAAGGAGAAAGACTCCCAGGCCAGATGGTACAAGGAAAGGCTAGAGCAGGCTCTGGATTCTGGCCAGTGGAGACTAGATCTTCAGGGGAGTGGGGGAGTGGGAAACACCTAGATTCTCCTTGCCCAGATTTGGGAGAGATCAGAGTCCTGAGGCTGAGATTTTTGGGCGTGGGTAGAAACGGCAAAGCGGACAACATGGTGATACCTGCGGAGGAGGTATGACTGAGTAGGGGTGACCAGAGGTGGGAGGGGCAGAGTGGGGGCTTCCAGACCCAGCTCCTGTGTAAACCACTGCCCGGGAGACAGGCTGAAGTACAAACATGGGCTCTCGTGTTAAACAGAAATTGCAGCTGTTCTGAGGTTGGGGCCAGCCCAACTCTGTTCATGGCTGAACTGCCAGCATTGGCCCAGCAACAACCTGAGACCATCCCTTGGAGGGACACCCCAGCCACCATCCATAAATAAAAGGCGACATTACTGCTTCCTAGAAACACAAAACATCAATGTACTGATACACTTTAGAGCAAGAAACAGAAAATAAATTTTAAAAATAAGTTTTAAAAATATATAATTTAATTCCACATTAAAGCCAAGCTATCATGGTGGGAAGAAGGTATAAAAACCTGGTGGAGACCCTGAGGGCTGAGTACACACACGAAGAGAGGGATTGAGATGAGAAGTAGCATCCAGGGAAAGCGAGGTCTCTGCAAGCTGAGAGGATTGTCTCTGCCCTCTGAACTGTTCACTAACAGGTCACCAGTCCCAGTTCTTTGTTCAAATCCTCAAACTTGGAGGGGCACTGCTCCAATGAGACAGCTATAGCACCCATGGGGAGGAAGTGCCTTGGGCTGCAGTAGACAGTCAAAAGCCAATTCGTCCAGGCAGGATGAAGTAAACCTGGACTGAGGAGCCTGACCCAGCAGCAGGGCTCACACATGCCCCATGGGGACGGTCCCCAATATATATAAACAGTGCACTCAGCACGTGTGCAGAGGCAGGCAACTCCTGAGCCTGCTTCCCGCTGGGTTGGGGTGAACAATATACTTTAATGGCCAAAAAGATCCCAGCTCTCTGCATGAGACCCACATCCTCTCCTGGGCTGTCACTCAATCTTGGGAAATACTGGTTCAATGAAGAGAAACAAGGGCTCCATTGTGCGAGAGCAGCAGGCAAGCTCCCCTTCTGCATCTGGACAGGACCCCCTCCTCTCCCGCAGAGCAGGCTCAGCTCAGCTCCCCACACTGCTTTCCTGATAGTCAAAAGGTCAGTCCCCAGCTATGCTGTCATAGCAGAGAAGTGACCTCGGCTCTAGGGTAGAGATGGTCAAGGAACACCCACAGAATGGGGATCCTTTTTTCCTCACCTGAGCCAGAAAGATAACCAACCCTGCTGCCATTATCCTTGGCCCAGTCAACATTCCTTTTCAACCTCAGCTTAAAACCTAAGCCTCCCTCCCCAGGTGCCAACACTATCAGTGCTGGGCACTCAGCCGGGACAGGGTGGGCCACCACATCCAGGAGTTTGTTTCTGAATGGGGAAGATTTAGGCTGGAATTAAGACTGGGAGACAGGTGTGGTGGTGTGCACCTATAGTCCGAGCTACTGGGGAGGCTGAGGCAGGAGGATAACTTGAGCCCAGGAGTTTGACGCCAGCCTGGGCTCAAGATCATATCTCAAAAAATAAAACAAAACGAGACTGGGGAGGTGGATGCCAGTCCCCGTTTCCCCTTTGGCTTCATTTGAGGTCCCTGCTCTGTCTCTCCCCAGAAGGCTTCAAGGTTAACACACAACAATTCCCTGCCCCTTGATGACTGGCCTGGGCTTACTGAAGGCACAAAGACAGAATCAGGACACTCACCCAGCTTAACAAAGGGGCAGGGATCAGCAGTCAGCAGGTTGCCTGGCCTATATTCCTCTCCCTTGGACTCTCTGAATTGTGTCTTTAGGGTGTGGTTTGCTGCCCAGTGACAATATACATTCCTTTATATCCTGCCATGTTGTGTAGTCTCTTTTAGTTTCTGGTATACAGTTCTACAGTAGTTCTAGCATTTACATCACTTCAGAACTTGCTAATAACCTAAGGATGGGAGAAGCAGCACCGTAAGAGGATGTGCCCAATCTCCCAGCGGCTTCTCTACAAGCACTACGTCCAGACCAGCTTTCCACAAGTTCCACAACCTGGCCTGGCAAGACCTGCCTGATGTCCTTCCAGGTAAGGAGCCTCCTCGGTGCCGAGGACAGTGGCTCTCACTGTAGCCTCCTCAGGAGCTGTGAGGGGGGCATAAGGAGGCGGCCATTCCCCAACCAAGTGCCAGGAAAAACCCACGGGAACAAGCCCTGGAGCACAGATTCCAGGCAGCACAGACCAGCTGAGGGGAGAGGTGTTATGTGTGATTTCTGTCTGGGGTGGGAAAAGGGGAGGTTTTGACCATAAAATTCCTTTGTTAAAGTCCATCCAGGACCTCAGGGGAAAAAAATAAAAACAAAATAAAATACAAGCTGCGTTGTTACTTAGTATGTTTCAAAAGGAAATGGGACATGCTGCACGTTGTGAATGTGGTGGGAGGTTGAGGGAGCGGAGGGAAACCTTCTGTGTTTAATATGTGGCATCTGTAACCACTCAGGCCTCCAGACTGACATGCTCTGTGGAGAGGACGTGGTTAATCATGGGCCGATCCCCCAGCATGGCCGCGGATGCCGAAAGACAAGGCTGGAGGTCTGGGCTGTACATCATTTCTGGGCCCAAAGAGGCCCTGTCCTCTGGTTTTAGGGGATTCTCATCATGTGCACCTGAGCACAGATACTAAATCTCCCTCACCCTGAGCCCAGGCCAGTATCCTACCCTTTCAGCTAAAAGAAACAGTCACAGAAAATCATTTTAGATTCCTTAAGAAAATAAATATTTCCATAGAGGTCAAACCAAAGTACAGGGGCTGGAGAAGGGGTGGGAAGCCCTGGGGCACACACTTTGGATGAGCACAGTAGGTCCTGCCAGCTGGGGCATCAGCGCCCTCACCGTGTCCTTGCACGAGACACTCACCCACTCCCCTTTCCCATCCTGGGACTGCACAAGTTGCCCCTTTCTTGAAGTTGATGCAATGTGTCTCCGTGTTAGCTATGAGCTCCCAACAGGCCCCAAGGACTTGGGGTGATGGGGCCTGGAGGCTCTTGCCAAAGCCAAGCCTAAATCCCTGTTTCTATTTTATTAGCAGGGAAGAAATAAGAGTCAAGTTGAGAAAATGCCCAGTTAAGACAGTCAGTCACAGGACAGCTGTATTCTCAGGACCGGCCTGTCATCAATGAGAATACGTCCAAGTCCCGGGCTACTGCTGCCGGAGAGGGAAATGAACACGCTTGCCTTTCAGCGCCGTCGGAAGGCCCGGGATATTCTCCAGGCATTGGGTTCCTCATAGCGGTTGTACAAGGGTTCCAGACGCTGCTGCTTCTTCTGTTTGCTTAGCTTAGTTGGGTCAGAGACCTTGAAGAAGGCGGGGGCAAACTCCACAAGCCACCGGGGGTCGATGGTGGTAACCTCACGCATGTATTCCTTGGTGGTCAGCACCAGCTCGTGGTATACCACCCTATGGGGGGACAGAGATAGAACTCAAGCCTCTGGATGCAGGTCCCACTCTACAGTCAACCTGATCCCTAGTAGGCCTCAGCTGAGCTTACATTTTATCCTCTTACCTCTCACGCCTGACCCCTACAAGACTGCAGACTGTTTATGATAGCCACACCCCAATACTGAAGCACCCGCACACCTCTAACCACAAGAAAGGTCTCAGGAGAATGTGCTCTAGTCCTGGCTCTGGCTCTAGCTAGTTAAGTGACATGGAGCCAGTCACATCCCTTCTCTAATCTGCTTCTTGCTCTATAGGGTGGCTTATTTGAATGTTTCCACAGAATTCTAGGGCCCTGAAGAGGGGTCTCACACACTGCCACAAGGGCTGGGGAAGGCCAAACAGGCAGGAAGCTACACTTCTAACCCTTCTACTGTGATAACATGGTGGTTTTGAATCAGTTTTATATTAGGGTTCTAGAGAAAGAGTCCTTTTTTTAATAAAAAAGTTACTTTAAAACTACATCTCTAGGTAGTTTTTTAAACCACAAATTTTTTTTCAGCTACGTCTCACCCCTATGACTTTAATTCTCACAGGGTTTGATACACTGTGCCTAATTCAGGTTTCGGCTGCTCAAGAAATGCAAGCAATGTTATAACAGGAAGGACTGGGAGTAGGGAAGACACAGTCACAAACTGCCAGGAGATTTACAGGTTTTCTCTGACCCTAGACCCTGGGACGTGTCCACCTACCATTCTGGCTGTCTGTTGAAGAGGGCACTGGAAGGATGGATGTAGACCACCTGCTGGTCAATCAGCGTCCGGTAACCCTCCTGCGGGTCTTTCTTGGCGGCATTACGGAAGAACCCACTGCAGATGGCCTTCTGTACTCGGACTGTGGACTTGCCACAGGAAACAACATCCAGCTTGTGTCTATCAAGATAGGACAAAAGATGTGATCCCACTCTGCTTTCAGAGGTTTTATTTTCCACAATGGCAGTGCCCAACACCCCCATCTTGGGGTACCCAGAGTAGTCACCAGGACCTTCCTTCCAGCCCTAAGTGTACTACAGAGGCAGCTCTACACAGTGGGCAGACGGAGGCACTCAGAGGCAGATACTTTGTTTAGACGGGAATTCAATTCCAGAGTAATAATGTTCCAGAGGCTTGTAAACAAAGAGCGTTTCTTCAACAACTGACAAATAATCTTCCTCTTAGGAACTTTCTGAGGTAATTCTCAACCATACCCTGGCTTGGGCAGAAGGACTATAACAAAGACGGAAACGCTGGAGGAAGAGGTTTATGTGAGGAGCAAGAGAAAGGCTGCCTATAGCTTTATAGGTTCACACAGATGAACAGACATGATACTCAAGGTGGTTCAACTCAAACATCGGGAGTCATCGGATTCCGGCTTACCTGTCCATTATGCCTAACATCTGCTTGCGAATGTCCTGGGCCCGGCGCAGGGAACGAGCCTGGATAAAGTTCTCATAGCACCATGGGTTGGAGAACTTGTTATTCTTCCAGGAGTTGTACACAGCTAGCAGGGTGAGGTGGTCTCCTTCAGTCTGGTGGAATTTGGCCTTCTTCTGATCTGCAAGGGCTTGTTTATCCTGCCAAGCAGTGGGACAGAGGATCATTTCCGACCCAACTGCTACTAACCGAACATGGAGCAATTCTAGGGAGCCCTACAAGGCCCTGTCAAAAGTGTCCACATCAGGCCAGGCATGATGGCTCAGGCCTGTAATCCTAGAATTTTGGGAGGCTGAGGCAAGAGGATCACTTGAGGCCAGGAGTTTGAGACCAGCCTGGCCAACGTGGTGCAACCCCATCTCTACTAAAAATACACAAATTAGCAGGGCATGGTGGTGCATGCCTGTAATCCCAGCTGCTCGGGAGGCTGAGGCAGGAAAATTGCTTGAACCTGGGAGGCAGAGACTGCAAGATTGCGCCACTGCACTCCAGCCTGGGGGACAGGGTGAGACTCCACTTCAAAAAAAAAAAAAAAATTCCACATCAGCATTGGAATGGCAACAGGCCAACTACCCCAACTTCACAGCACCCCATCTAAACCTGGATGTGAACTTCCTACCTTGGGCCTATAGAAGACGTTCTGCACAGACAGCATGGATACAATGGTCAGCATTTCCTCACTGCAGCCCAGATGCACAGACATGATGAGCATTTTGCATAGCATTGGCTCCAGAGGAAACTCTGCCATCTAGAGGGAGAAAGAAAAATGACAACTACTTCCCTGCGGAAGACACTTGGATTCACCATAGCAAGACCTTGGTCAGAATGGGTAACAACACAGATTTTTCTCAAAGCATAATGATGCCGTGGGATGCCTTTCTCTATCAGGAGAATGCTGTTGTTTATTCTTTTCCCAAATAAAATCCAACGGGATGTATGTGACCAAGCACATAACTACTGTTGGGGTAGGTGAGAATTTTGCAGATGCCTTTTCTAAGTAAGGCTAGACTCACTAATATATCCTGAGGCAAAATTAACTGTGAACACCTTTTTCTATAAAGACGAAACAGTTTAAAGTGATCGTGGAGAAATTCAGGTTAAAAACAAGCATTGATAATTCTACTCAAAGCTTATCCACAGTCTCAACTCTTGATTTTGTACAGACCAAAAGATGTGAAAGGCTGACCAGGGAATCTTCCCAAAAACAGAAAGTTAAGTCTGTCCCCTACCCGGCGGCCCAAGCGAGTGAGCAGGCCCTCATCGTCCAGGGCCCCCAGTGTATACAGCTGCTCCATGGCGGTGATCAAAGTTTCCATTGGTGGGGCATCCATGAAATCAAAGGACAACAGGTCATTGATACCCATGGCCTAGAACAGAAAGGAAGAAGGCAGGTGATAAGAGGGTCAGTCTAGCCAGTGTTAGCAGGTGGGGAAGCTATTTGTTACTTTATTTCCCATTTCTTCAATTGCAATTAGGAAGCCACCAGTGAGACTGATGTAACTTCCAGGGCTGGGCCACATAAAACTCAGACTATTGTAATAGAAAGCACATATCTGACACAGAGTCTCACTCTGTCACTCAGGCTGGAGTACAGTGGCCCAATCTCAGCTCAATGCAGCCTCCACCTCCCAGGTTCAAGCAATTCTCCTGCCTAAGCATCCCGACTAGCTGGGATCACAGGCGCCTGCCATCATGTCCAGCTAATTTTCATATTTTCAGTAGTGATGGGGTTTTACCATGTTGGCTGGGCTGGGCTGGTCTTGGCCTGGCACAGTAGCTCACGTCTGTAATCCCAGAACTTTGGAAGGCCAAGGGGTGGGGGGCAGATCATGAGGTCAGGAGTTTGAGACCAGCCTGGCCAATATGGTGATACCCCATGTCTACTAAACATACAAAAATTAGCCAGGTATGGTGGCACGTGCCTGTAGTCCCAGCTACTCGGGAGGTTGAGGCAGGAGAATTGCTTGATTCCGCCCTTGCAATCCAGCCTGGCAACAGAGCAAGCCTCCTTCTTAAAAAAAGAAAAAAAAGAAAAAGAAAAAAGAACTGAAAGCAGATTCAGCATTATTGATAATAGCCAAAAGGTAGAAACAATCCAAATGTTTCTGCTGAAGAATGGATAAACAAAATGTGGTATATACATACAACAGAATACGAGTCACCCTTGGAAAGGAATGAAAGAAATGACTAAACCTTGAAAACAACATGAATAAATCTGGAAAACATTATTCTAAGTGAAACAAGCCAGATACAAAAGAATACTGTATGATTCCACTTAAATGAAGTTGTCTAGAATAGACAAATTCACAGAGGTAGAAAGTAGAATAGTAGTTACCAAGGGATAGAGAGAGGGGGTAAAGGGGAGTTACTGTTTAAGGAGTACAGAATTTCTGTTTGGGACAATGAAAAAGTTCTGGAAATGGATGTTGTGATGGTTGTACAACATCATGAATGTATTTAATACCACTGAATTGTACACTTTAAAAAGGTTCCAATCGTAAATTTTGTTATGGATTTTACAAGAATAATAACAATATAGCCTACCAGCTTGTCCTGTCTCTTGCATACCTCATTTCTACTATATATTACGAGGGACCTCGTACCATGCTAGGTGGGAGGGATATAAAGATGGCCAAGATATGGCCTCTGCCTTCAGAGAGTTCACACTGGGTGAGAACTATGTTCACGAAACCACAACACAGTGCAATCTCCATGCCTGGCATGTAGCAGCTGTTTAATACATTTATTAGCTAATTTGATGAATAAAAGAAACAACTGAATGATGATGATTCAAGTGTGTATAAAGTGTGATGTGGTAGGACCGAAGCTTTCTATTTCTTTCTCATAAAGTGATCGTGACCATAAACACAGCAGGTGTTCAATACATGTTTATTGTGTGAATAGTAACTATGAGGAATTATGTTAGCAATCATCAAGCTAGGCGCTGTGCCAAGTATCTTCACCTACATTATCTCACTTATCTTTCTAACAAATGCTATTTTTTTTTTTTTTTTTTTTTTTGAGACAGAGTTTCACTCTTGTTGCCCAGGCTGGAGTACAGTAGCATGATCTCAGCTCACCACAACCTCCGCCTCCCGGATTCAAGCGATTCTCCTGCCTCAGCCTCCCAAGTAGTTGGGATTATAAGCGTGCACCACTAAGTCCATCTAATGTTGTATTTTTAGTAGAGATGGGGTTTCTTTATGTTGCTCAGGGTGGTCTCAAAGTCCCAACCTCAGGTGATCTGCCTATCCTGGCCTCCCAAAGTGCTGGGATTACAGGCGTGAGCCACTGTGCCCAGCCTCCAACAAATAATATTAACAGCCCCCTTTTCAGAGGAGAACACAGAGCAGAGGGCAAAGTAAATAAACTTGCCCAAAGTCACACAGTTTGGAGCTAAAGTCTGAGCCACAGATGCCTCTCTGTTGGCACTCCAGAGACTGGAGCAGGTTTCTTTTTTCTTTCTGAAGCTCTGTGTTAGCGTCTCTTACAGGGAATAAATAATAAATGACAATAGAGCCCTCTGCACCAGAAAGTGCCAGGGCTCCAGGGTAGCATCAGTGTCGGGGGAAATGCCATCAGCCGGGAAATTATTCAAACAGCTCCTCCTGCCAAAAGAGAATGAAGTCCTCACTGGGGACTGAGAGAGGAAGAACAATGATTCAGAATGAAAACCAAGCCCCTGAGAGCCAGTCTGAAATCTGTGCTGACAGTTCCCTTGCAAAGTTTTTGAAGAGGGAGTTTTTTTTCTCTGTTCTAAAGGAACAGAATTGGATCTGAACACTAAAGTGGTTGAGGTTAAGTGTGTTTGTCCACAGTTTGGCATTGATTATATTTTTGTAATTTCCTTTTAGAAAATGCTCCTAACTACAACCTTTTACAACCTAATATCCTGCTAGTTGTTATGGTAAGAAAAAATGTGTGTTCACAGCAGACATGCCAACTTAGCCCCAGACCTGCTGTGAGAGGCGGTTATCACAGCCATTTGCATTTCACTCAAAGGGACTGGTTCCATGAGGTTACTAAAGTATTTAACAAGCTTCATAAAACAGATTCATTTACAAAGGCCAGGATTGGACTCTTCCACCAACCCATTCTAACCAGACAGTGATTTCTACCTTGAGTGACAGCACCGTGCTTGCTAAGTTGGTTCTCTGGATTTCCGGCACATTGGTGGTGAGCATTTCATCTCGGTAGGCACGTTCTGTATACAGCCTGTAACACTTCCCTGGGCCTGTTCTCCCAGCTCTGCCAGCTCGTTGCTTTGCCTGAGCCTAGAGGGGTGGGCATATAAAAGCAACATATCTGTTAAACACTGCTTAACAGCTTTACCCAGGATCTCTGTTAAAAGGGGGACAATTAGCAACTGGCAAAATCAGAAATGGGGTTGATTTCACTTCCTTTGGGACCATTTCCAAGACTACCAATGCTCTTTTCTTTCCCTCTCCATACTCAGCACTTCAGGGCAGTTTGTTCAAGGCAGGCAATATAAGCAGGGTTAATGAAAGAAATATTATACAGATCTCAGACATGTAGTTTCAAAATAGTATGGCACAATATAAAAGAGAAAGCAGCCAGGTGCAGTGGCTCACACCTGTAATCCCAACACTTTGGGAAGCCAAGGCAGGCAGATCATGAGGTCAGGAGTTCAAGAACAGCCTGACCAACACGGTGAAACCCTGTCTCTACTAAAAATATAAAAATTAGCCAGGCATGGTGGCGTGTGCTTGTAATCCCAACTACTCAGGAGGCTGAGGTAGGAGAATCGTTTGAACCCAGGAGGCAGAGGTTGTAGTGAGCCAAGATTGCACCACTGCACTCCAGCCTGGGCAACAAAGCGAGAATCGTCTCAAAAAATAGAGAAGGCATAAAACAAGATGAGAGAACACATCCCCACAGTTATGACCAAAAATGTAAGTGAAATAAATAAATCCTGTCAATCATACAAATGACTCTACAGTCATTTTTTTTTTTTTTTTTTTTTTGAGACGGAGTTTCGCTCTTGTTGCCCAGGCTGGAGTGCAATGGCGCGATCTCGGCTCACCGCAACCTCCGCCGCCTGGGTTCAGGCAATTCTCCTGCCTCAGCCTCCTGAGTAGCTGGGATTACAGGCACATGCCACCATGCCCAGTTAATTTTTAGTATTTTTATTAGAGACGGGGTCTCACCATGTTGACCAGGATGGTCTCGATCTCTTGACCTTGTGATCCACCCGCCTCGGCCTCCCAAAGTGCTGGGATTACAGGCTTGAGCCACTGCGCCCGGCCTTACAGTTCATTTTTAAAATTATGTTTGCAGGCCAGGCGTGGTGACTCATGCCTATAATCTCAGCACTTTGCAAGGCCAAGGCGGGAGATCACCTGAGCCCAGGACCAGCCGGGGCAACATGTTGAAACTCCATCTCTACAAAAAATACAAAAATTAGCTTGGTGTGGTGGCTCATGCCTGTAGTCCCAGCTATTCAGGAGGCTCAGACGGGAGGACCACCTGAGCCTAGGGGGTTGAAGCTGGCTGCAGTGAGCTGTGATCATGCCACTGCACTACAGCCTGGTAACTATGAGACTGACCCTGACTCTAAAAAAATTAAATAAAAATAAAAATCACGTTTGCAATGTTAAGTAACAGAAGAAAATGTTCACTCACATTAAATGCAAAATGCAAGTTACAAAACAATATAATGTTAATTTTGTAAAAAGTCTTCATATATCAACTACTAGAAGGAAATGACTAAGGGAAAAAAAACCTAAAATGTGAACAGTGGCCAACTCTGACAGATTTGCAGATGAGGTCTATTTTCTTTAGACTTTACCAAATATTAAACATGTATTATTCCAGTAGGAAAATTAAATACTCAAAAAAAAAAAAAATTCAAAACTGCCTACTTATTTGACTACTAAAATTGCAACCATGAAAGAAATAAACATGAAAAAAGACTGGAAAGAAAAACAGCAAAATGACACAGTGGACATAGTAGGATGATGGGTAATTAATTTTTTTCTTCTATTTTTCAAAAATAATGTAATACTACTTCTGTACTGGGAGAAGAAAACGCTGGGTTTTTTAAATTTTTTTTTTTTTTTACTGTAGTTTAGCCATAGGTTGCTAGGAAACAATGAATAGCAATCTGAAGAGGGCCATTTTCTGACAAAACCATCTGTTGTTACAAACAGTACCAGGATTTACAAATTACTATGCCAGCTCCAAACCAAAGGATGGAGTATCAAAGGACAACTAAGCATACAAATCCAGGCAGCAATCACGCACAGTGGCTGGACTCCACAGCATTCTATAGATGTCTCTCTCCAGATCAGGAAAGGCATGTATAACTAATTTTTTGATGACCACCACCCTGACAAGTGGTATACAGCACACAAGCTGGAGTCAGGTTACCCAGGTTCAAATCTTGGCTCTACTAGCTCTGCGATGTTAGGCAAGTCACCTAACCCCTCTGTGCCTCAGGCTCCTCATCTGTGAAAATAATATCTACCACACAGGATCAACGCGAGAATGCACTGAGTAAATGCGCGTATCTAGGACAGTACCTGGTACTTGGTAAGTACACTGTAAGTGGTAGCTATGATTTTACTTAAGTTTTAAAATAAAAATAGCCTTATGGCTTTTTACAAATTATGAAAGTAATACATACCCTTTGTGAAAGACTACATAAAAGTATAAAAGAAGCCAAGTGCAGTGGCTCACACCTGTAATCCCAGCACTTTGGGAGGCCAAGGTAGGCGGATTACCTGAGGTTCGGAGTTCAAAACCAGCCTGACCAATATGGTGAAACCCTGGTCTTAAATAAATAGTATAAAAGAAAATGCACTTCACCTAGCAGTACCACCCGGAAATAATCTTGGCTAACATTTGGACTACATGCTTTCAATCTTGGGCACACCTCACTCATATACACACTGCAGAAATGCACACCATCTTTTTTTTTTTTTCTGAGAAGTATAAGGTTGAAACATCATCTATGAAACACTATTCATGCTGTTTTGTAGGCTCACTTTTTCAAATAAAACATTATAGTTACATGCTTATGTCATTAAAGATAGATAAATGCGGCCGGGCGCGGTGGCTCAAGCCTGTAATCCCAGCACTTTGGGAGGCCGAGGCGGGTGGATCACGAGGTCGAGAGATCGAGACCATCCTGGTCAACATGGTGAAACCCCATCTCTACTAAAAATACAAAAAATTAGCTGGGCATGGTGGCTCGTGCCTGTAATCCCAGCTACTCAGGAGGCTGAGGCAGGAGAATTGCCTGAACCCAGGAGGCGGAGGTTGCGGTGAGCCGAGATCGCGCCATTGCACTCCAGCCTGGGTAACAAGAGCGAAACTCCGTCTCAAAAAAAAAAAAAAAAAAAAAGATAGATAAATGCCACCATGTTAATGCCACCAACATTCTATGGCGGGAATATACCATAATTTATTAAACTACTTCCCTTTTGGAATACATTTAGAATTGTTTCCAGGTTTCCCCTGATACAAACAATGCTTCAATGAACATCCTTTTCCATTACCTTTGGACATGTATTTAATCATTTCTAACTTTCAGATATATTCCTAGAAGCAGAACAGTTAGGTTAAAGAGATGAACCTTTAAATTTTGGATATAATGTTGCCAAACTTCTCTCAAAAAAGTGATCAGGTAATTCATTTTTAAATGTAATTTCCTGCCTAAGCAGGAAATTATTTTAGAGGCAGGGCCTTGCTCTGTCACCCCAGCTGGAGTACAGTGGTGCTATCCTAGCTCACTACAGTCTCGGACTCCTGGGCTCAAGTGATCCTCCCACCTTAGACTCTTAACCAGCTGGGACTGCAGGCACATGCCACCATGCCAGGCTAATTTGTTTTTTTTTGTGTGTGTGTGGTGGCAGGATCTTGCTATATTTCCCAGGCTAGTCTAGAACTCCTGGGATCAAGCAATCCTCCCATTTCAGCATTGAAAAGTGCTGAGATTATAGGTGTGAGCCATGGTGTCTGGCCTCATGGGGGCATTCTAATGGTGAAATACTACTCTAAAGATTAAAAACTTCAAGGATCAGTCAGACTTGGAGGTAAAAAAAAGATCAAAAACAAAGAACAAAAAACCCTTCCCTTGTGTCATTATAGGACCCAGTATCATAAAAGTTCATCTTTGAAAACAATAAAGTTTGAAATATATAACCATAAAAAATTTCAGAAAGGCCCTAACCAGGATTATTAGGAAACTTTTGATACAAGCTGCCATACCTGAGAAATAGGCGTCACCACAAGCTGGTCAATCCCTGTCTTGGAATTGTAAACTTTCTGCTTCACGAATCCTGGGTCCACCACGTAGTAGATGCCATCAATAGTCAGCGATGTCTCTGCAATATTGGTGGCAATCACAACCTGCAGGCAAGAGAGGCAAAGCTGCCATGAGCCGCCCGGCTCAGCCCTGATGTATGACACAGTTCTTCTGAACCCAGACATCTTCCCAAAGGAATATGTGACTATCTCCCTCTGTGGATGTTTAAAATGACTCTTAATCCCAGCTCAGCGTCCAACGGGTAGAAAGGAGGTACCTTGAGCTTAAGGGTTAAGTTGGAAAAGGGATGGTACCTGAGAGGTACAGGAAAAAGCTAAGGCCAATCAAAGCCAATTTCATTTGGTACAAATAGCTACTGTATATCTCATTTTCTAGATCCAATGTTGATTACTACAATTTTAATTTTCTAGCACCCTGGGAAAGCAGAGATTTCCTGGCATCACATGTGCCAATGCCAAATGAGATTTTTCTTTCCCCTACCGAGACATCTGGACTGAAAAATGGACTGCTTGTATTGTGCGGAATATGTATGTGGAACAAGAGGGAGACTGCTTTTTTTAACTGATCATAAAATGAACTATGAGACGACACAGGAATTTCACAGTTTGTGTGTGTGTGTAGCAGTCTATGTGATCTGGAGGATTATTAGTCTCAGCTTGACACTGTCACTGTTCTTCCACCCAGAAGTTCAGCTAATAAAACACAACTGCTTGGAAAAATCATCACTAGGAGGCACTGGAATAACATGCATCATGCCAGCATCTTAGTGGCCCTGAAAGCCTCCTACCTGCTACAGAACTACAGAAGCCCTGCTTAGAAAGAACTCCAACTATTAGGAATAGACTAGGGGAGAAATTCACCATCTTTCCACTCAAGCCTGATTGTCCCCCCATGCTTCCCTCCTCAGCACCATCTTCGATCCAGCTGCCCAAGCCAGAAACCTGAGTCATGCCTGACTTCCCTCACCTTTCTCTCCTTCACCTGCTAATACCCACCAAGTCTTGTCCATTTTAACTTTTTTTTTTGAGATGGAGTTTTGCTCTTGTTGCCCAGGATGAAGTGCAATGGCATGATCTCGGCTCACTGCAACCTCTGCCTCCCAGGTTCAAGCAATTCTCCTGCCTCAGCCTCCCCAGTAGCTGGGTCTACAAGCATATGCCACCACACCCAGCTAATTTTTGTATTTTTAGTAAAGACAGAGTTTCACTATGTTGGCCAGGCTAGTCTTGAACTCCTGACCTAGTGATCCGCCCGCCTCAGCCTCTGAAAGTACTGAGATTACAGGTGTGAGCCACTGTGCCAGCCAAGTCCATCTGCCTTCTACTCTTAGGAATATGCCTAAGAGAAATGAAAACATATGTCCACACAAAAACTTGGTTTTCTGAGACAGGGTCTGGTTTGCTCTGTATCCCTACCTGAAGCACAGTGGTATGACCACGGCTCACAGCACCTTCACCCTCCTGGGCTCCAGTGATCCTCCCACCTCAGCCTCTTGAATATAGGCACACGTCACCATGCCTGGTTATTTTTTTATTTTTTGTAGAGATAGGGGTCTTAACCATATTGCCCAGGCTGGTCTTAAACTTCTGGGCTCAACGGATCATCCCACCGTGGCCTCTAAAAATGCTGGGAATGGCTGGGTGTGGTGGCTCACACCTGTAATCCTAGCACTTTAGGAGGCAGAGGCAGGTGGATTACCTGGGGTAATCCTTCGAGACCAGCAAGGCCAACACAGCAAAACACCTTTTCTACTAAAAACACAAAAATTAGCCGGGCGCTGTGGCACATGCCTGTAATCCCAGCTACTCGGGAGACTGAGGCAGAAGAATCACTTGAGCCCAGGAGACAGAGGTTGCAGTGAGCCGAGATTGCACTACTGCAAGACTCTGTCTCAAAAAAAAAAAAAATTCTGGGATCACAGGCATGAGTCACTGCAACTGGCTCACACAAAAATTTGTAAATAAATATTCATGGCAGCACTGTTCATGATAGCCTAAAAGGGGAAACAACTCCCAGGTCTATCTCTTTCTTTCTTTTTTTTGAGACAGTTTTGCTCATTGCCCAGGCTGGAGTGAGTGCAATCTCAGCTATGCAACTTTTGCCTCCTGGATTCAGGGTATTCTCCTGCCTCAGCCTCCCACATAGCTGGGATTATAGGCATCCATCACTACACCCGGCTAATTTTTGTATTTTCAGTAGAGACAGGGTTTCACCATGTTGGCCAGGCTGGTCTTGAACTCCTGACATCAGGTGATCCACCTGCCTCAGCCTCCCTTACTGCTGAAATTACAGGCATGAGCCACTGCGCCCAGCTCCAATGTCCATCAAGTGATAAATGGATAAACAAATTTTTTTGTGCCCATACAACAGAAGAGTATTCAGCAATAAAAAGAAATGAAGTACTGATACATACTACAATGTTGATAAACTCTAAGTCTAGAAAAATCACTGGAAATAAGCCAGCCACAAATACATGCTTTCATTTATATGAAATGTCTAGAATAGGCAAATCCACAGAGATAGAAAGTATAGATTAATAGTTTCCAATGGCTGAGCAGAGAAGTAAATGGGGGTAGGAGGTAACTGCTAAAGGGTACAGGATTTCTTTTTAGGGAGATAAAATTGTTCTAAATACAACTGTGGTGATGGCTGCACAATTCTGTGAATACAGTTAGCCCTTTGTATCTGCTGGTTCCCCATCTGTGGATTCAACCAATAGCAGATTAAAAATATTTGGGGAAAAAATATAATAAAAAATAATACAAATAAAAAATACAGTAAAACAGCTACTTATATAGCATTTACACTGTATGAGGTATTATAGGTAATCTAGAGATGGTTTAAAGTATCATACAGGAAGATGTGCTTAGGTACATGCAACTACTACAGCATTTTATATAAGAGACTTGAACATAATTGGATTTTGGTATCCTTGGGGGTCCTGGAACCAATCCCACATACCATGGAATAACTGTATACTAAAAGCCATTGAACTGTACACTTTAAAAGCATAAATTCCAATCTGGGCAACAGAGCAAAAAAGTGCTTCCACAAAAAAATACAAAAATTAGCCAGGAATAGTGACACATGCCTGTAGTCCCACATGCTTAGGAGGCTGAGGCAGGAGGATCACTTGAGCCTTAGAGGCAAAGGCTGCAGTGAGCCGAGATCACACCTCTGCACTCCAGACTAAGTGACAGACACCCTGTCTCAAAAAAAAAAAAAAAAAAAGAAAGGAGGGGGTGGGGGAGTTAACTGAAAGGTATGTAAATTATATCTCAATAAAGATGTTATTAAAAATATACCTATATCCATCTGTCTTCTTTCCTGATGTCTCATACACACAGTCATATACTTGGTTCCAGCCAGCGGAACTACGCCATTCTCTGAACTGGCCCCACTTCCTCGCCTCCAGGCCATCACAGACAGTTCTGTGTCCTCAGAAAGCTTGTCCCCTTGCCTTTCGTGAGCTCTCCAGGACTAGCTTAGATTCTTATTTCCCCTAAGAAGACAGGATTGGGTGCTCCCACCTGGGTATCCAAGCATGAGTGGCCTTTTCACACTATATGCTGAAAGTCTGTTGACTAGGGATGCCCCACTGCAGATAGAGGCTTGTTCTCATAATGCAGCTCCCATGCATAGCCCAAAATCTGGTAGATGCTCAAAAAATATTTGTCAAATGAAGGAGATGAGGAATAAGAGCAAAGGTCACATACTAGACCCTCATTCCTAAACAAATTGCTTGGACCAGTCTCCAAAACCTAACAAACAAGACTTGCATACATCCTGAGCAATCCCTACTATGACAAGCTGCACAGAACACATGATTTCAGGGGACATGGGAGCTTCCTTTTGCCTATGTTACCTTTCTGCTGCCTGGTGGAGCTGGGTCAAAGATTCGGGTCTGCATCTCACTGGGAAGCGCAGAGTACACTGGGAGGATAATTAACTCCGGAACATCAGGTCCCAGGGATTTCATTCTTTCATACAGGATCTCACAAGCAGTATCAATCTCTTCCTGACCAGTCAGGAAGACCAGGATATCACCTATGAGGAGAATAAAGCATTAATTTACCTTCTAACTGTGTGTGTGTGTTCTATACAAAGGCTACGGTGACTTTTTAATAAAACTTCAAATAACAGAAAATATACATTCATATTCTGACCAATAAGTAAACAATAGAAGTCTGTTTATATGACAATATGACATTATAACCACCACCAATTCTTTTTTGTGTATGATGGAGTCTTCCTGTGTCACCCAGGCTGGAATGCAGTGGCACGCTCTTGGCTCATTGTAACTTCCACCTCCCGAGTTCAAGTGATTCTCCTGCCTCAGCCTCCACAGTAGCTGAGACTATAGGCACCTGCCACCACATCTGGCTAATTTTTATATTTTAAGTAGAGATGGGGTTGCACCATGTTGGCCAGGATGGTCTCAATCTCCTGACCTTGTGATCTACCTGCCTTGGCCTCCCAAAGTGCTGGGATTACAGGCATGAGCCACTGCACCCGGCTACCAACACCATTTCAAACATACAAGCCTGAGGCTTGCAGAGAGATGAAGGTGTTTCTAAAAAGATTAGCAAAAAAAATATTCATATGAGGACTCTTGGCCTAAGAGGAAAAATACTGCTTTTTCTTTACCTGGTGGCTCTGTTAAATGGATCTGCATAACAGTAATCAGGCTGGCATCCAGATAATCTGTCTCAGGCTCCTTTGTGTACAGTATTTCCACTGGATATGTTCGACCTGGGATGGTGAAAATGGGAGCTTCATAGAAGTATTGAGAAAACTTCACTGCATCCAAGGTGGCTGAGGTGACAATCAGCTTCATGTCCTGCCGTTTCTGAACTGTCTAAAGAGAAATAGAATGTGGCTTACTGAAAAGGACTACCCAAAAAGACACAGGTACTCAAATCCAACTCCCAGAATTCAGTGTCCAGCAAGTAAAAGGGTCATTAAAGAGCATCTAGTTACCTTTTTCAACAATCCAAAGAGCACATCGGTGTGAATTGTCCTCTCATGTGCCTCGTCCAACATGATGATTGCATACTGAGTGAGGTCAGGGTCGATCAAGCACTCCCTAAGCAACATCCCATCTGTCATGTACTTGATGACTGTTTCAGGGCTAGTGCAGTCCTCAAATCGAATGGTGTAGCCCACCTAAAGCAGAACGGAAGGGAAAACCTAGGATACAAATGTCTCCTCTTCCCAATCACCGGGCAGGATTTCAGCACAGTCACTGTTACTCATAATCTTAAGAATTTGATCAAGATGTATAGTAATTTCCTCATAGTAAGGTATATCTTAGACCATACCCTGAACAGACTGATTATGACAATGGGAACCCTCTCTCCCTCAGGAGAAACCTGCGAAAAGGCAGTATTATTCGTATTTCCATTTGATAGGTTAGGAGATCTGGGCCTTTGCTTCTGGTATTTTTAGAGTGACTCCACTATCTACTTACCTCTTGGCCTAAGCAACAACCAAACTCCTCCGACACCCTTTTGGCCACTGACATTGCTGCCACTCTTCTGGGCTGGGTACACCCAATCTTGCCCCTGGAAGTGTAGCCTGCCTCCGCCAGGTACTGGGTGATCTGTGTTGTCTTTCCAGATCCTGTCTCACCAATAACAATCAGGATCTGATTGTCGTGGACGGCCTAAAGCAACAGAATATAAATATGGTCATTAAAATTTGCCACATGCTACTTTGGAATAAAATAATTAATGACTATATTCTAACACTGAAGAAAAGGGGGACATACACACACATACGGTTAAAGAAGTCAACAATAAATTTAAAAGACACATAAAAAGTGTTCCTTCCCACTGTAACTCCCAAATTTCTAGTATCTTTCCTCAAAAGTTATTTCTTATTTCTATATTGTTTGTAACAGCCAAGGATTATAATCAACTATCTTTCTATGGATACAGGACTAGTTAAATAAACCAGAGCTGATCCCAATAACAAGGCATATAAAAAAAGCTTTTTTTTTCTTTTTGAGATGAAGTCTCATTCTGTCACCCAGGCTGGAGTGCAGTGGCATGATCTCAGCTCATTGCAACCTCCACCTCTCAGGTTCAAGCGATTCTCCTGCCTCAGCCTCCCAAGTAGCTGGGACTGCAGGTGCCCACCAGTATGTCTGGCTAATTTTTGTATTTTTAGTAGAGACAGGGTTTCTTCCTGTTAGTCAGGCTGGTCTCGAACTCCCGACCTCAGGTGATCCGCCTGCCTTGGCCTCCCAAAGTGTTGGGGTTATAGGCGTGAACCACCATGCCTGGCCTTCCTCATTTTTAATTACTGACCAGAGCTGTTGGTCCATGCAACACAATACTCTGCCCACCTGGAACTGTTCTAGGGTCCCCAGGAAAAAGAAAATATATGGACATATACATATGTATGTGTACACACACACACACACACACACACACACAGACATTTTTGATACAGAGTCTTGCTCTGTCACCCAGGATGGAGTGCAGTTCATTGCAGCCTTGACCTCTCAGGCTCAAGCAGTCCTCTTATCTCAGCCTTCTGAGTAGCTGGGACTACAGGCAAGGACCACCATACTCAGGTAAATTTTGTATTTTTTTGTAGAGACGAGGTCTCCCTATGTTGCCCAGCCTAGTTTCAAACTCCCAGGCTCAAGTGATCCTCCTGCCTTGGCCTCCCAATGTGCACAGGTACAAGCTAACATCCCTGCACCCATCATTTTAAAAAGTATTTAGAAAGTTTTCTCCTTTGGCTGGGCACAGTGGCTCATGCCTATAATCCTAGCACTTTGGGAGGCTGAGGTACGTGGATCACCTGAGGTCAGGAGTTCAAGACCAGGCTGGCCATCATGGTGAAACTCCATCTTTTAAAAAAAAAAAAAAAAAATGCAAATTTTCTCCTTTTTTCTTTTTTTTTTTTTTTGAGACGGAGTTTCGCTCTTGTTACCCAGGCTGGAGTGCAATGACGTGATCTCGGCTCACTGCAACCTCTGCCTCCTGGGTTCAGGCAATTCTCCTGCCTCAGCCTCCCGAGTAGCTGGGACTACAGGTGTGCGCTGACATGCCCAGCTAATTTTTGTATTTTTAGTAGAGACAGAGTTTCCCTGGCCTTTTCTCCTTTTTTCTTATCCCTTTTGGAAGAGCCACTTCAAGTAGGCACATACTTGTCCCGCTAGTTTCAATTTTTTTTTTTTTTGGAGATGGAGTTTCGCTCTTGTTACCCAGGCTGGAGTGCAATGGCGCGATCTCGGCTCACCGCAACCTCCGCCTCCTGGGTTCAGGCAATTCTGCTGCCTCAGCCTCCTGAGTAGCTGGGATTACAGGCACGCACCACCATGCCCAGCTAATTTTTTGTATTTTTCGTAGAGACAGGGTTTCACCTTGTTGACCAGGATGGTCTCGATCTCTCGACCTTGTGATCCGCCTGCCTCGGCCTCCCAAAGTCCTGGGATTACAGGCTTGAGCCACCGCGCCCGGCTAGTTTCAATTTAAAAATGTCATCCCTCTTTTAGAAACCAACCCTACTCCCCACCAATACATCATAAAAGGGCTTCTCACCTGCACCAACTGCTCCTTCAGTTTGTAGATGGGCAGGCTCTCCCTCTGCTCAATGATTGACATCTGGGTCTTTTTCCCATAAGAGGCTTTGTTGCCCCCAAAAGCATGTTTCTTCCACTCAGGAATATCATTGGGCATCATCCCAATACCCCTCATGTTGGCAGCAATCTGTCTGCCTTCCGCTGTAAAGGAAAACAGGCAACTTAGGATTGTCCTCAAGCTACCTCAAGATGCACCAGGGGGCTGGGCACGGTGGCTCACGCCTATAACCCCAGCACTTTGGGAGGCTGAGATGGGGGGATAACCTGAGGTTAGGAGTTTGAGAGCAGCCTGGACAACATGGTAAAACCCTGTCTCTACTAAAAATACAAAATTAGCTGCACATGGTGGTGGGCACCTGTAATCCCAGCTACTCAGGAGGCCGAGGCAGGAGAATCACTTGAACCTACTAGGCAGAAGTTGTAGTGAGCCAAAATCGCACCATTGCACTCCAGCCTGGGCGACAAGAGCAAGACTCTGTCTAAAAAAAAAAAAAAAGCCAGGCACGGTGGCTCACACCTGCAATCCTAGCACTTTGGGAGGCTGAGGTGGGTGGATCACCTGAGGTCAGGAGTTCAAGACGAGCCTGGCCAACATGGTGAAACCCCATCTTGAAAAAAAAAAAAAAAAAGGACGCACCACGGAAAAAATAAAATGGCAGGTAAGTACTACACATGCAGCATTTCAATTCAGTGATCCGTGATCAAAAGTACTCAAAGAAGCAAATTAATGTGAAGAAAAGAATATAGAAGGGGCAGCAGGGAGTGGGAAAGAGACTGTAACAAGTGGTGCTACACACCTGTGATGTCAGAAGAAAGGTTAGTTGAGAGAAGTGAAGACCTGATTGTTGGACACTGGAATTCTTTTTTGAGGCCGAGTCTTGTTCTGTCATCCAAGTGGGAGTGCAGTGGCACAATCCCGGCTCACTGCAGCCTCGATCTCCTGGTTTTAAGTTGTCCTTTTGCCTCATTTTTAAATTTTGAAGAGAGAAGATGTCTCTATGTTGCCAGGCTGGTCTCGAATTCCTGGGAGCGAGCAATCCACTCACCTCAGCCACCCAAAGTAATGGAATTCCAGGCGTGCCACCATGCCCAGCACTCTCTGCCTTTTAAATAAGTGCTATAGCGGGATGTAATTCACAGGCCATGTCACACTCTTCTTTTTTCTTTTTTGAGACTCTGTTGCCCAGGCTGGAGTGCAGTGGTGCAATTATAGCTCACTGCAGCCTCAAATTCCTGGACTCAAGGAATCCTCTCTCCTTGGCCTCCCAAAGTACTGGGATTACAAATGTGGGCTACCACACCTGGCCTCCATGTCACTCTTTTCAAGTGTCTAACTCAGTGTTTTACTGTGTATTTATAAAGTTGTGCAGCCAACCCCATTATCTAATTTTAGAACATTTTCATCATCTCAAAAAGAAACCCTGTACTGATTAGCAGTTGCTCCCCATTTCTCCCTTTTCCTTCTCCTTGGCAACTACTAGTCTACTTTCTATGTCTATGGGTTTACCTATTCTGGATATTTCATACAATATGTGATCTGTTGTGTCTGGCTTCTCTCAGATTAATTTTTATTTTTTATCTATTTTTTTTTTTTGAGACAGGGTCTGGCTCTCATGCCCAGCAGGCTGAAGTGCAGTGACATGATCTCAGCTCATTGCAACCTCCACCTTCTGGGCTCAAGCCATCCTCCCACCTTAGCCTCCTCAGTAGCTGGGACTACAGGTGCATGACACCACACCCAGCTAATTTTTTTTTTTTTTTTTTTTTTTGAGATGGAGTTTCACTCTTGTTGCCCAGTCTGGAGTACAATGGCGTGATCTCAGCTCACTGCAACCTCTGCCTTCCGGATTCAAGTGATTCTCCTGCCTCAGCCTCCCAAGTAGCTGGGATTACAGGTGCATGTCACCACGTCTGCTAATTTTGTATTTTTAGTAGAGACATGGTTTCACCGTGTTGGTCAGGCTCGTCTTGAACTCCTGACCTCAGATGATCCACCCACCTCAGCCTTCAAAACTGCTGGGATTACAGGCATGAGCCACCACACAGGGCCTAATTTTTGTATTTTTTGCAGAGACGGGGCTTCACCACATTGCCCAGCCTGGTTTCAAATTCCTGGATTCAAGCGATCTGCTTGCCTCAGCCTCACAAAGTGTTGGGATTACAGGTGTGAGCCACCGCACCCGGACCTAGCTTATATTTTTAAGGTTCGCCTTGGAATTATGGCTTGAGTGAGGAGCAAAAATAATGAGAGAGTTTTACTGGTGCTCTAGAATATGCAAACATTTTACAAATTTGATGCCAAAAGCCAGCTATGAAAAAATAACTTATGCCAACTAACAAAATAAGTGAGCTTTGGCAGAGGCCAAAGAAGGGTCACAGAGAACACCTCACTAAAGGGCAAAAGGGAATGAATGGGTTTATTCTGAGGAAATGGAAGATGATATTGTTAAACAATGAATAAATATTTCTAATCTTGCATTTTTTGTCATTTTTTTAAAATTTGATTTTAAAATGGAGACAAGGGCCAGGCACGGTGGCTCACCTGTAATCCCAACACTTTGGGATGCCAAGATGGGCGGATCATTTCAGGTCAGGAGTTCAAGACCAGCCTGACCAACACGGTGAAACCCTGTCTCTACTAAAAATATGAATAAATTTGCCAGGCACAGTGGTGCATGCCTGTAGTCCTAGCTACTCAAGAGGCTAGGACAGGAGAATCACTTGAACCTGGGAGGCAGAGGTTGCAGTGAGCCAAAATCGCACCATTGCACTCCAGCTGGGTCAACACAGTGAGACTCCATCTCAAAAAATAAAATAGAGACGAGGTCATAACATGTTGCCCAGACTGGTCTTGAACCCCTGGTCTCAAGCAATTTTCCTGCCTCAGCCTCCCAAAGTGTTGAGATTACAGGCGTGAGCCAACATGCCAAGCCTAATCTAGTATTTTGAATCTCTATTATATGCAGCCAAACTGTTACCTAAATTAACAGAATTCTCAAACTTCTGTCTCCAGCCCAGACCTTTCTTCTGAGCTCTTATACTCAATTCTACACTGGATAACTCAACCTAAGATGTCCTCTAGTTACCTTGGATACAAGTCCAAAACTGAATTCCACATCTTTTCCCACAAACCCATGTCTCCTCCGGTGTTCCCATGATTCATCCTAGTGCTCATATCAGAAACCTGGAAGTCACCTTTGGCCACTCCTGTTACTCTACATTCAACAAGTCACTTTTCTCAAGTGCATCCCTCCTCTTTGCTACCTCCACGTTCAAGCCACCATCCTCTCTCTTCTGAATTAGTATAAAGGCTTCCTAAATCATCACATGTGCCCCATCGAACTCATTCTGCAGGACACTCTGAATCATCCTTTGGAAATGCAACTCTGGTCATGGCACTTAAACCTGGGAGGTGGAGGATGCAGTGAGCCAAGATTACGCCACCGCACTCCAGTCTGGTGACAGAGTGAGACTCTGGCTCAAAAAAAAAAAAAAAAAAAAGGGGGGCCGGGCGCGGTGGCTCAAGCCTGTAATCCCAGCACTTTGGGAGGCCGAGGCGGGTGGATCACGAGGTCGAGAGATCGAGACCATCCTGGCCAACATGGTGAAACCCCGTCTCTACTAAAAATACAAAAAATTAGCTGGGCATGGTGGCACGTGCCTGTAATCCCAGCTACTCAGGAGGCTGAGGCAGGAGAATTGCCTGAACCCAGGAGGCGGAGGTTGCGGTGAGCCGAGATCGCGCCATTGCACTCCAGCCTGGGTAACAAGAGCGAAACTCCGTCTCAAAAAAAAAAAAAAAAATTTTTTTTGGTTTTAAACACGTTTAAGAAAAAAAACAGACATGCTGTAACTGAAGTGAAAAATCAACAGTAAATTTTTTTAGAGACAGAGTCTCATTCTATCAACCAGGCTGGAATGCAGTGGCCTGATCTTGGCTCATGCAACTTCTGCCTGCTGCGTTCAAGCAATTCTCCCAGCCTGCTGAGTAGCTGGGATGACAAGTATGTGCCACCACACCCGGCTAATTTGTTTATTTTTTTTTACTAGAGACAGGGTTTCACCATGTTGGCCAGGCTGGTCTCAAATTCCTGACCTCAGGTGATCCACCCGCCTTGGCCACTTGAAGTGCCGGGATTACAGGCATGAGCCACTATGCTGGCCTAAGGGTGAATTTTTAGTGTGTGCTGGGAGTGCCCCGTCCCTGTGTTCTGGAAGGCTCATATTTTTAAACAAGGTCCATACACCTCTCCAAGGGTCCTACCATCAGGCAGAGGGTCAACCCAGTGTTTGTTGAGCCCCATGGGAATAGAATCCATCTCGGCTTCCCGCTGGGCCTGCTTGAGTTCCCGCCTTTCTTTGGCCAAGGCACTTTGCATCATTGCTGCTTGGGAGAGGGAGCCATCTGGGTTCTATACAACAGAAGAAAAATCAACATGAATTAAATGTCCAGGAAACAAAATGTAGATGTTAAGCCCCTGTAACCTAAAACATGAGACTACACCTGGAATAAAGTTCCTACCAACGTAACAGACTATATGAAAGAAATGGATAAACTGTAGCATATTCAGACAAAACGAACAAGGACAATGATAAATCATTGAAAGAATTGGATGTTGAGTTTCAAGATGAGATAGGAATGATGTGCTACCTTTAAATGTATGAAGGACATAAGAAAGGGATCGGCATTTTTCTGTATGACCCCGGGATCCAAAATCAAGACCAATGTGGATGAGGTTTTAGGTCAGCCTAAAGAAGAACTAGCGATCAGATCCATCTAATGATGAAATGTACCTCCTGAAGGGCTGGTGAATTCCCTGTCACTAACAATGTCATGCAGCTATGAGATGACCACATAAGAAGAACACTGTAGAAGAATTATATGCATGGATCATATGCATTACATATGTGCTGGGCAGGGAGACCTTTAATACACCCTTTTCCATATCTAAAATTTTTACTGTTCTATGGATTCGAGTTCACATTCCCCTCGCAACTCTGCCCTCCCTAACACCCAATGCTACAGCTTTCTATGGTGGCCAGTCCCAACTGCTCAAGTAAATCCTTCAAAACTGCCTTTCAATCTGCAACATTCAAGCCCTAAGGAACCCAGGCAAAGGCAAGGATGGTAGATTAAGCGTTCTATCTCTGCTTCCACCCAAAACACACAAAAGTAGCACAAAAGAATTAAACAGGCAAAAGCAATAAAGCCAACCCAAACTCCATGTAAAACAAAACTATTCTAGACCCTGGCTGACAGCCAATAAGCCTTTCAGTGGCCCAAGTTCTACTTGCGCAGATCTAATAACCTGACCCGTTACTTTAGAGAAAGAAGTCCACTTGGCATTTCCAGGTTAAAGGTCCAGCAATTCTCACCTTGACGATTTTAATGGGGCTCATGTCCATGCTTTGCTTAGTGTGCCCTCTCAGGAATGGAGGCTCTTCTTCAACCAATTCAATCTCAAGGTCCTCATCTAAAAGTTCCCCCAAAAGAAGAATTAGTCATAAACAAGAGAGAATAACAATTTTCATCAAAACAATTTCCATAGGCACCAGCAATCTTTATCAGTAATAGCTTCTCCTCGTGGGGCACACTGGCTCATGCCTGCAATCTCAGAACTTTGGGAGACCAAGGCAGGAGGATCACTTGAGGTCAAGAGTTTGAGACCAGCCTGGCCTGGCCAACATAGCAAAACTCTGTATCTACTAAAAATCCAGAAATTATCCAGGCTTGGGAGCAGGCACCTGTAGTCCCAGGAGGCTGAGGCAGGTGAATAGCTTGAACCTGGGAGGCAGAGGTTGCACTGAGCTGAGATCGAGCCACTGCACTCCAGCCTGGGTAACAGAGTGAGACTCCGTCTTAAAAAAAAAAAAAAAAAAAAAAGTCCGGTGCCCTGACTCACGCCTGTAATCCTAGCACTTTGGGAGGGCGAGGAGGATGGATCACGAAGTCAGGATTCGAGACCAGTCAGACCAACATGGTTAAACCCGTCTCTACAAAAATACAAAAATAAGCCGAGCATGGTGACACGTGCCTGTAATCACAGCTACTTAGGAGGTTGAGGCAGGAGAATCGCTTGAACCTGGGAGGCAGAAGTTGCAGTGAGCCTAGATCGCACCACTGCATTCCAACCTGGATGACAGAGCAAGACTCCATCTCAAAAACAAACAAAAATGCTGGGCATGGTGGCTCTCACCTGTAATCCCAGCACTTTGGGAGGCCGAGGCGGGTGGATAACCTGAAGTCAGGAGTTCCAGACCAGCCTGGCCAACATGGTGAAACCCCATCTCTACTAAAAATACAAAAAAATTAGCCAGGCATGGTGGTGAGTGCTTGCAATCCCAGCTACTCAGGAGGCTGAGGCAGGAGGATCACTTGAATCCAGGAGGCAGAAGTTGCAGTGAGCCAAGACTGCACCACTGTACTCTAACCTGGGCAACAAGAATAAAACTCTATCTCAAAAAGAAAGCTTCCCAGGTCAAAACAACAGCAATGCAAGTAAAACTCCAACCCAAGTGACTATTCCCCCCACCACCAGCCATTTCTAGGGCATTTGTGCTCCAGGCCAAGAACTGATCATCCCTACTTTCTTTCCTTTTTTTTTTTTTGAGACAGAGTTTCACTCTTGTTGCCCAGGCTGGAGTGCAATGGCGCGATCTTGGCTCACCGCAACCTCTGCCTCCTGAATTCAAGCAATTCTCCTGCTTCAGCCTCTCAAGTAGCTGGGATTACAGGCATGTGCTACCATGCTTGGCTAATTTTGTATTTTTTTAGTAGAGACAGGGTTTCTCCATGTTGGTCAGGCTGGTCTCGAACTCCCAACCTCAGGCGATTCACCCACCTTGGCCTCCCAAAGTGCTGGGATTACAGGTTTAAGCCACTGCACCAAGCCCAGACCTACTTTCAAAAGAAGTTAAGCCTGTGATAAAATGTTCTCCTGACATTCTAAATGGTACTAAGGCATTTGCCATCCAACTTCATTATGGAATAATCCTTAACCCATAATAAATTTGCAAAAAATTAGTTGGACAATTGAACAACACCAAATGGAATTTGCTTAAGCTTATGGCAAAAATATAAACGGTACGGAAACCAATAGCAAACAATTTGGAACTGCCCAGCAGAGTCAAACACACACATTTCTTACTACCCAGTAATTTTTTTAAAAAAGACAGGGTCTTGCTCTGTTGCCCAGGCTACAGCACAGTGGCATGACAATAGCTCACTGTACCTTTGACCTCCCAGGCTCAAGCAATCCTCTCTCTTCAGCCTCTCTAGTAGCTGGGAGTACAGGCACATATCACTACACCTGGCTAATTTATTATTATTATTATTATTATTATTATTATTATTATTGTAAAGATAGGGCCTAGCTATGTTGCCAGGGCTGGTCTCAAACTTCTAGGCTCAAGCAATCCTGTCATCTTCTCAGTCAGCTTCCCAAAGTGCTAGGACGACAGGGGTGAGCCATGACACTTGGCCTTGCCAGTAATTGTACGTATTTAGCAAAAAAAAAAGACGTTTTGCACATAAGCACTGAGAGACAATATAGCAATTTCAAAATACTATTATTCACAAAGATTAACAAAAAACCAAGAAACAACTCATATGTCTACCAAAAGTAAAATGGATAAATTATAGACAATTTGTGTATAAAAACACTAACAATGGAAATGAGTGAAATACCAATAACAGATAAATATCAAAAATATGTAAGTCAAAAAAAAGAAATATGAGTTAAGTTCAAAAATAGACCACACACTATAATGTTTAGGGATAGATATGTAGATGGTAAAACTCTACAGAAAAGCAAGGGAGCGATTAACACAAATTTGGGATGGTGGTCACTCCGAGGAGGGAGAAAGAAGATCTAAGCAGAGGGGAGCATGGAGGGGCTTCAGAGGTGCTTCCAAAATTCTACTTTTTAAGCTGGGTGATGGGTTCATAGGTGTTCACTATTATAATATAAATTATAGAATTCTATTATAAGATTTCATAATTTCAAAAAAGTCATTATGGGCTGAGTTAAAAGTTGTTTCCAGGGCAACTCAGAGGTTACCTAGGTGAATCCAGGGTTTTCAGAATAATTACTAAGAATATGAGATCAAATTTACTCTCAAAAATACAATTTTAACTTTTTATATCCTGAAAGCATTTTGGTTTTGTTTTTGTTTTGAGACAGAATCTCACTCTGTCACCCAGGTTGGAGTGTCACCCAGTGATCTCGGCTCACTGCAACCTCCATCTCGCAGGTTCAAGCAATTCTCCTGTCTCAGCCTCCTGAGTAGCTGGAATTACAGGCGCCCAGCACCACGCCCAGCTAATTTTTGTATTTTTAGTAGAGACAGGGTTTCACTATGTTGGCCAGACTGGTTTCAAACTCCTGACCTCAGGTGATCTGCCCGTCTCAGCCTCCCAATGTGCTGAGAGTACAGGCATGAGCCACCATGCCTGGCCCTGAGAGCTTAGTATAAGCAACAAATATAATAATACATAAGCATTTGTCAGAAAAATGAATTTCTTGCTTCCATCGTGGTAAGATCCTTTTTTTTTTTTTTTTTGAGAGATGAATAGTGAGACCCAAAGAACAGTGATTAATAGCCACTAAACAAGCTAATCACAAAATACAACAGCTCACTCAACTTGCCAATTATCTTTCTCAATCCAACTGACTAGTTACCTTCTTCATCATCCACCTTAGGGAGAATGCCAGTCTCTTCATCGAAGTCTGGAAACTCTTCCTTAGAAAGGACATTGGCAGCAATCATCTAGCCAAAGAGAAGGCAGCATTTGTAATCTGCTAAGATCAAAACTTTTTTCATTGTTTTTGGTTTTGTTTTTTTGAAATAGGATCTTGCTCTGTCACCTATGTTGAAGTGTGGTGGCCTGATCAAAGCTCATTGCAACCTCAAACTCCTGGGCTCAAGCAATTCTCTTTCATCATTCTCCTGAATAGCTGAGACTACCGGTGCACACCACAATACCTGGCTAACTTTTAAATTTGTTCTAGCAACAGGGTCTCACTATTTGCCCAGGGTGGTCTCAAACTGCTGGCCTCAAGCAATCCTCCTGCCTTGGCTTCCAAAGTGCTGGGATTACAGGTGTGAGCCACATGCCCAGCCAAAACTCTTTTCTAGGAGAGTTAATCACAGAGGTTTCATATAGAAAACCCAATTTTTTTTTTTTTTGAGACGAAGTCTTACTCTATCGCCAGGCTGGAGTGCAGTGGCACAATCTCGGCTCAAGAGGATCACTTGGATCCCAGGAGTTTGAGACCAGCCCTGGTAACAGCAAGACTGTCTCTGCAAAAAATTAAAAAATTAGCTGGGCATGGTGGCATGCGGCTGGGGTCGCAGCTACTTGGGAGGCTGAGGTGGGAGGATAGCTTGAACCTGGAAGGTTGAGGCTGCAGGGGGCCATGGTCATGCCACTGCACTCCAGCCTGGGCAACAGAGCAAGCAAGACCTTGTCTCAAAAATAAAATAAAATAAAAATATGTAATCCCTCACAATTATTTGTTTAGATCTGTCTCCTCTGCTGGACTTTGAGCTCCTTAAGCATAGGAACCATGATATATTTGTCTTTTTTTTTTTTTGAGACAGAGTTTCGCTCTTGTTACCCAGGCTGGAGTGCAATGGCACGATCTCGGCTCACCGCAACCTCCACCTCCTGGGTTCAAGCAATTCTCCTGCCTCAGCCTCCCGAGTAGTTGGGATTACAGGCGTGTGCCACCATGCCCAGCTAATTTTTGTATTTTTAGTAGAGATGGGGTTTCACCTTGTTGACCAGGATGGTCTCGATCTATTGACCTCATGATCCACCTGCCTTGGCCTCCCAAAGTGCTGGGATTATAGGCGTGAGCCACTGAGCCCGGCCATATTCGTCTTTTTTTTTTTTTGAGACGGAGTTTCCCTCTTGTTACCCAGGCTGGAGTGCAATGGCGCGATCTCGGCTCACCACAACCTCCGCCGCCTGGGTTCAGGCAATTCTCCTGCCTCAGCCTCCTGAGTAGCTGGGATTACAGGCACGCGCCACCATGCCCAGCTAATTTTTTGTATTTTTAGTAGAGACGGGGTTTCACCATGTTGACCAGGATGGTCTCGATCTCTTGACCTTGTGATCCGCCCGCCTCTGCCTCCCAAAGTGCTGGGATTACAGGCTTGGGCCACCGCGCCCGGCCCATATTCGTCTTTATAGCCCCAGCGCTGCATGGTACTTGACATACCATGGTTATGACATTTAGTGAAGAAAGATAAAAACAATAATGAAGACTTACATAGCAATTACTATATGCCAGGCACTAACCTAAGAGTTTGACCTCTTTTAACTACTCATTTAATCTTCACACCACCAACACGGGTCGTGTTTTATAGATGAGGGTGCTGAGGCACAACGAGGCAGAGTAGCTTAGTTAAGGATTACACAGCTAATAAGCGGCTGACAAGGTTTGGCTGTGTCCCCACCCAAATCTCATCTTGAATTTCCATGTGTTATGGGAGGGACCCAGTGGGAGGTAACTGAATCATGGGGCAGCTCTTTCCTATGCTGTTCTCATGAGATCTGATGGTTTTAAAAAGGGGGAGTTTCCCTGCACAAGCTCTCTTCTCTTGTCTGCTGCCATGTGAGACATGGTTTTCACCTTCTTCCATGATTATGAGGCCTCCCCAGCCACGTGGAGTTTTAAATCCAATAAACCTCTTTAGTAAATTGCCCAGTCTCAGGTATGTCTTTATCAGCAGTGTGAAAACAGACTAATACAGTGGCCAAAAGTCATCCCAGGCCATCGTGCTCCAGGGCACACACCCCTAAGCACCATGCTACATGCTGAATGACTATCTGGCCATAAAGGCTAAGGGCCCCAACCTGTTTGATCTCCCACTTCTCTGGATCAGAGATTCGGGTGAGGCGCTTGCGTTCCAGTGAGTCATCCTCTACTTCAGGGGCACTGACAAGGGATAGGTGAGTGGGTCTATCAGGATTCCGCATTGAGGTCTCCTCATTGGTCTCCCCAACAAGATTTCGTCGTCTATTTGGGTTTAGATCTTCTCCGGTCTCTTGATCCACATCCTAAGGCACAAAAACAAGGGAGCTAGCTCACCTGCTGTCTTCCATTCCCTTGGCCGTCAGATGTAAGAATAGGCTGACCATCTCACCTACCTTCATGCTCAGGCTGGTCTTGGTCCCAGTGAAGGACAGCACTTTAACTTTGACCCTCTGGCCTTTGCTCACCACATCAGCTACATTGGCCACACGACCTTCCCGCCGGAGCTCAGAGATGTGCACCAGGCCTTCCCACCGCTTCCTGAGGGAGAGTCAGACACATCTGGAACATACCAGAAAATACTTTTCCCCCAACCAGTTTCCACCCTTGTTGGAACTAACAAAAGAAAATGGTCTTGACCTCAAGAGACAAGTACCATGAAGGTGGTGAAACAATAAAATAGTATTATCACTCTCCCTACAGGGAGACATGGGGTGCAGAGGGAAATTCCACTTGTCCCAACCAGCAAAGGGCAGATCTCCTGAAGGCAGAGAAAGGAATAAATGTAACATTTCAAAAGAGTCCATTTCTAAAGTGTCATTAATCAAAATAACTTCTCAGAATGTGAAAATCCTCAGTGATAAAAGAAATTCTGCCCATCACTGGTGTGAACAGAAGAGCACCAGCCATTACCTTAGTCCTTCCAGCTGCACAAAGCAACCAAACTGCATGATGCTGGTAACTTTGCCATTATAAATGTCCCCAATGGTGGGCTCTTCAGGAGGAGGGCGGTCCACATGCTTATCCCGCCATCTATCCAGATTCCTCTCTCCGTATTTGTCCCGGTCCTTCCGGTCTTTGGGGGGACTCTGACTCCTGCTCCTTGACCGGTGTCTAGACTTGGCTTTGTTCCTCTCCCGGGCCCTGGAGCGTGATCGCGAACGGGATCGGTGTCTCCGCTTGTGGTCTCTATCTCGATTTCGTTCCCGATCTCGGTCTCGATCTCGGCTTCGACTCCGCTTCTTCTTCTTTGTCCTGTCCCTAACAAATCAATAAGCACCTGTTTAAAAAAGAAAAAACCAATCCAGCTTCATCTTTGCATCCCCAAGCACCCAGTACAGTGTCATGTACAAGGTAGGTGCCCAACTAGGTGTTGAACTGAATTAGAGTTTCAGTAACTATGGCACCCCTAGCGGCCAATAAAGAATCAAGCCACAAACATATTCAGCCTCTTTCAACCCTCATTTCTCTCTTCTGAACATCCTAGTATTTGCTACATACTCTTAGCAGGGAGCAATAAAAACAGATCCAACAATATCATATATGACCAGTCCAGATTCTGTAAACTTGCCCACAGTTTTGCTTGGCTGGTCCACAAAATTCAACCGTCACAGTATCCTAAACTTCCAAAGGACAGGACAGTAAGGACAAACCGGTGCTCAGTGTCTCTTTGCTTCTCCTGGCCTGCTGCGCTGGGCATTAAAGCTTCCAATTCTTTCAGGACATCCACAGCAACTTTCACATCATCTTCATCCAACATGGTCTGCACAGGTAGAGGAGAAGGAACAAAATCACTCAAGAATCTGTATGTACTTCAGGTACATCTACAAATCACTAACCACTGTGTGAGGGAAACAGAAGAGGGACAGAGATTTCCAGCTTGATTTGAGATAGATGCAGAAGAAACGGACAAAGGCTCTTGAGAATCACTGCTACATTAGACAAATCCCCTTTGTCCTTAATACAATTCTATAAAAGGCAATTCGATTTTTTTTCTTTTTTTGAGATGGAGTCTCACTCTGTTGCCCTGGCTGGAGGGCAGTGGCGCGATCTTGGCTCACTGAAACCTCAGCCTCCTGGGTTCAGGCGATTCTTTGAAAGGCAGTTAGATATTAATCATCTCTGCCATAAAAGAACGCAAGTGATGATTATAAATAGAAAACAGATATTAGAAATTTTAAAAAGCAACTCTCTTTTGAGGGAGGCACAGAAAAAAAAAAAAAAGCAACTTTCCCTCTACACTCTCTTTTTCCCTCTCCCCACTCCAGCTTTATTTTTTTTGTAGCCCTTATTGCTATCTGCTATGTTATACACTTGGTTGTTTATTGCCTATCTCCTCCCCACCCGAATGCTTACATATTTATTTCCTGCTTCCTACCCTAAAACCAGCATATAATCTCCAGAGGCAGAAACTCTTGTCGGTTCTGTTCACTGCTGTTACCCAGGTACTTAGGGGCACACAGTAAGTAAGTACCTAAAAAATATTTGTTCAAATGAAATTTAAAAACCAAAATGCTTTTAAAATTAGACCTTTAGCAAGGAACAGGGCAAAAAAATCTAATTTCACACATCAGGCATCTGTTCCAGAACCTTATTTTATATCCCAATCACTACTGCCCCAAATTCCCAAATTTGTTTCCCTTGAATATCATTCTCAGAACCCCTTAACATAATCCATACATAGTACATGCTCAGGGAGGGATCAAACATTTTCTGAAAAATAAGTTATAACGGCAAACTTAAAATTAATAAAATTACTAATGAGACAAAGAAAAAGGGTTGGGAGTACACATTTATAGTAGACATTCTCAAAATGGCATCAGTACCCGAACAGAAGGGTTGTCCGGTTGGCAAAGGACAGGGAAGAGTTCCTTCAGCTTTTCTTTTTCCGTTTTAGGTTTAACAACTGGATCTTATTTCATTAAAGAGCATGAAGGGGTTAAAAAAAAGATATGTTTAATATTATTAATGGTTAAGCTAGATTTGTATCAAACTAAAAACAGAACATTGCATTTTGCTACATATTAATCATACCCCTTACTACAAATGTAATTTAATTTTCAAAAAACATTGACCACAAACTATCTAGAAATGGAGCAGACAGAGGAGTGTAGCAATACTCATTTGGTTATATCTTATCATTTTGATTTTGTCTTAAGCCATTTGAAATTTTTTTCCGCTTGAAACAGGGAGAGGACAGACACTCTGTCACTCAGGCTGGAGTACAGTGATGCAACTATGGCTCACTGCAGCTTTGCCGTTTGGGGCTCAAGCGACACTCCTGCCTTAGCCTCCCAGGTAGCTGGCACTACAGAGGTGCGCCATCATGCCTGGATAATTTTTTTATTTTTCTGTAGAGACTAGGTCTCTCTATGTTGCCCAGGCTGGTCTTAAACTCCTGGTCTCAAGTGATCCTCCCACCTTGGCTTCCCAAAGTGCTGGGCCAGCAGTGAGCCACTATGCCCAGTCCATTTTAAAAATCTTACTAGAATATTTACTTGCTCAGCAACTGCTGAGAGGAAAACAAATGCAATTTACAGGCTGCTCAGAATCTACACCATTCTGGAAGGTCAGCTCAGCTGGAAGCTCTGCTTACCTTTGCTAGTGGAAGGCTTCGCTGGAGGTCGCATGGTTTGTATGAGACGCAGCAAGTTACTAATAAGAGAATCCTTTGAAAAGAAACATAGAACGAAAATTGTCAACTCCTGGATCAGTACTTAAATACACTTCTAAAAGGAAAAGGCAAAGAATGTCCTTTAGGGAAGGGTTGTTATGCACTTGAATTTAGCTAATTGCAATAAAGGAAACAGAGTGTCAACCTGGTGTAGCATGAACCTAGTATAGTAGCTTCAGAGAAAGCCAATACTTAGTACTCTTTGAGGATAAAAGTTATTAGGTTCCCTGCCATCGTTTTATCTCCCACGGTTTAGAACTACCCTCAAGACTCGTTTCCGATTTCCTGACTCACAGAATAAGAATGTAAATACCTACAAAAACTTAATGATGAAAATCTTGCCCTGTTTTCCTAGAGAGGTATAGAAAATCTGTTTACATCACTACTGCTTAATGGCATGAAAACATTACACATTTAATGGTTTACTTAATTGATATGTGTAAAATTGTCTCCTTCCTATATCAAAATCCTTTATAAATCCTATCAAAACTTAAATTTGATAGTGACATTAAAACATTAATATCTACAGATTGCCTTCTCCAGGTATACGTACCGTAAATTCTGCACCATTTTTGACGAGAGAAGCCTTAAAAGTATCAAAGGTGGTATTTTTCTCAGCAAGACTGATCACAAATTCAGCTTCAAATAAGAAACAGAATTCAGAAAAGAGAGACATGAGCAAGAAATCAGTTGCAAGCATGTTGAAAACAAAACTAATTAGGTTATCCAACAGTCATAAAAACTAAAGACCACCATCTGATAAGAGTAAAGAAAGAAAATCTAGACTGCTGAGATTACCCACACGTTCTAGTGAATTTATACAAATGAAAGATATTACTACAAAATGGCTCCATGTAGCCCCTGAGTGTATTTAAACTAGGAACAACTATTTGCCCCACATCATCATACCCTCTTCTCACAAAACTACTACCTGGGCACGATGGCACCCAGACTAGACTCTAAAGGTGACAATAAAAAGCATGAGCCCGTGCATACACACAGAGACTCACAGAGGCACACAACAGAAAGACAGACCCAATCTGTATATGAGGGCCAGGCAGCTGCTAGACGGTGCAATCTCCACACTGATCAAAGACTAACTTGTTCCCCAAATTTTTCTAAACAAATCTGCCTAGTTCTTGAAACATTTTTCTTTTCTTTTTTTGAGACAGTCTCACTTTGGCTGGTGTGCAGTGGCGTGATCTCAGCTCACTGCAACCTCCATCTCTCAGGTTGAAGCAATTCTCCTGCCTCAGCCGCCCAAGTAGCTAGGATTACAGGTGCCTGCCACCACACCTGGCTAATTTTTGTATTTTTAGTAGAGATGGGTTTCGCCATTTTGGCCAGGCTGGTCTTGAACTCCTGATCTCAAGTAATCCTTCAGCCTCAGCCTCCCAAAGTGCTGGGATTACAGGCATGAGCCACTGCTCCCAGTCTAGTTCCTGAAACTTCTAATATTAGAGCTATTTATTAATTAAGCGACAGGCTCACACCTGTAATCCCAGCAGTTTGGGAGGCCATGGTGGGGAGACTGCTTGAACCCAGGAGTTCAAACCAGCCTGGGCAACACGGCAAAATCCCATCTCTACAAAAAATACAAAAATTAGCCAGGGGTGGTGGTGTGCGTCTGTAATCCCAACTACTCAGGAGGCTGAGGCGGGACGATGGCTTAAGCCCAAGAGGCCAATGGTGCAGTGAGGCATGATAGCACCACAGAACTCCAGCTTGGGTGACAAAGTGAGACTTTGTCTCAAAAAAAAAAAAGAGAATTTTGGCCGGGCGTGGTGGCTCAAGCCTGTAATCCCAGCACTTTGGGAGGTCGAGGTGGGTGGATCACGAGGTCAAGAGACCGAGACCATCCTGGTCCACATGGTGAAACCCCGTCTCTACTAAAAATACAAAAAAAAAAAAAAATTAGCTGGGCATGGTGGCGCGTGCCTGTAATCCCAGCTACTCAGGAGGCTGAGGCAGGAGAATTGCCCGAACCCAGGAGGCGGAGGTTGTGGTGAACCGAGATTGCGCCATTGCACTCCAGCCTGGGTAACAAGAGCGAAACTCCGTCTCCAAAAAAAAAAAAAAAAGAGACTTTCAGAAAAGAAGTGCATGAGGGTGGGGGGGTGCAAAAAAAAAAAAAAAGAAAAAAAGAAAGAAAAGAATTGCATTTTACCATAGACTGAGATAATAAGCCTCATACTATGATTCCTACAAAAAAATTTTAATGCTTTCATTTTAATGCTAATCCTAAATAAATAAATAACATGAAAGATCTAGATAACTAACTCATGAAAGATCTAGTCTAGATAATTCGTTGCCTGGGCAACAAAAGCAAAACTCCATCTCAAAACAAACAAACAAACAAACAAACAAACAAACGGAGTTTATACCTTGCTCTATTTTTTGTACATAAATGAAGTTAACATCAAAACAATTAAACACCAGAAGACATCAGTAACTTTTTTGATTTCTCTAAAAGGCCAAGGTATTAGGAGTTAAAACAAAAACAGAGAAAGGTAAGCTCCCTGAAAGCAGAAATCTGTCTTGTTCTCTGTGGTATTCCTAGCCCCCTAGTTCAATATTTGCTGAATAAAGGAAACATATTAATGAGATAGCAAAACCGACAAAATGATCACCTCATTATCAACTAAAGGAAAAGAATACTGAGGAAAAAATATACAGGACAGACACATCTTGACTGGGAGGCAAGAGAAAAGCAAACTAAAATATACTGACTGCAGGGCATCTTCCTAAGTGCTACATGGTGACCCTGTGACGACACTGTCCCACTTCACAGATGAGAAAAACAGCTTCAGAGAAACTACGAATCTTACCAAAGGTCACTCATCTAACTTCCCTAACCCCCTCCTGTCACCTGCCCCTTCCCTTCCATCCCTCCAACTGATGACTTCGTCTTCATTTAGAAAACGGAAGACTGGACTGGAACTCTCTCACTCATCTTCCTACCACCAGTATCTAAACTCATCTGAATCTGCAACTATATTCTCTGTCCTCACTTCTGTTACAACTGAGGAAGCACCCCTGTACTTAGCAAAAGTCAATCCTTCCATTGGTTGCCCTTTATCCCATCCATCCCCTTTTACCTTCATAAGGGATCCGTCTGTCTATGGCTTTAGATCTAAGACCTTAGCATTTTCTAATTCCTCAGTTTGGGTTCCCCAGATGTAGTTTGCCCCGAATAGTGACTGGTGTTTAAGACATAGTACAGGACGCAGTGGCTCACGCCTATAACCCCAGCACTTTGGGAAGCCAAGGCAAGAGGACTGCTTGAGGCCTGAAGTTCGAGACCAGCCTGGGCAATACAGTGAGACTCCCATCTCTACAAAAAATTTAAAAATTGGCCAAGCTAGGTGGGGCATGCCTGTAGTCCCAGCTACCCGGGAGGCTGAGGTGGGAGGATTGCTTGAGCCCAGGAGGTCGAGGCTGCAGTGAGCTGAGATCTTGCCACTGCACTTCAGCCTGGGCAACAGAGCGAGACCCTGTCTCAAAAAGGAGTACAGAGAGAACGGTCAAGAACACAGACTGGTACTATGTCACAGAGAGGCGTGAAGACCAAAAAAGATGTCAATAAAGAGCTGAGCATCATCACATCTGGCACACAGTGAGCACCCAAGAAACGTCAGCCTACATTATCGTCATCGCAGCACCTGCTGCTGTTGTTAAAGATGTTTAATTGAGGCTGGGAAAACAACAACAACAACAACAACAAACAAGCAGAGTTGACCGCCCCGGGCTTCACCGACAGCTCTGGGAAAGTTTCTAAAGTTTCTCGGGGGCTCTCAAGCCGAGGCCACGGCCGCGGTTTCCTGCGCCCGGGTCTGGTCTGTGGTCTGTCAAGCACAGATCCCCTTAGTCTGGAAACCCTCCGAGCCAGCTGCCTCCACAGACTCACAAGAACATATTTTCGGTCCATCAACCACCTTTCTTTCTCCTTCCGCTTCCCTCAATCCCAAACTGAGGCCACAAGGACCTCCCAGGGCTCACCTAAGTCCTTGTCGTTGATCCCCAAGTGATTGTCCAGCTCAGTGCAAACCTTCGACACCAAAGACAGGTACTCAAGTTTGGCAAGTTCTTCCGCGGGGCCTGGCTCCGACCCGATTATGGAGCCCGCCATGGCTACAGCCACAGCCATGGCTGCAGCTTGCCCCGGACCTCCTTCCTCACAGCCGGTGCACGGAGCTACTCCGGCCGGGTTCCGGCTTTCACTTCCAGGTCGACGCGCGTCGCCTTTGTTTACGGTAAATTGAAAACTTAAGGAACTAATCATGGTGCAATTGGATGGATCATAGAGACAGACAGGAAGTACTTAAGGAAGGGACGGCTAGAGAGGATTACTCTGCACGTCAAACCGCGCCCTCTACAGGCAAGAAAAATCTCCACCGCCCCCAGGCCCGGAAACGTTCACTCAACGCGCTCCTGCCGGCAGAGGGCGACTGTGGCCTGCACAAGAGGCGCCGGGAGGAAGCCGCAGAACAGCCTGCGCCTGCGCTGTAGAACCCTTGAAAAAGGAATCGGAATGCACGTCTTGAGGAAGAGACAAACTTGCTTTACTGTGGATCCGCAAATTCCCGGCTTCACTTCTTTGTGGTTCCTGTCGTCCGATCTCAAGCGATCTTTGATAAGCCCCAGGCGAACACACGAGGAAACTGGCCCTTCCACTGTCCAGCTGGGTGCTTGGGCAAATTAATCTCTGGGGCCTTAGTTTTCTCCCCTGCAAAAGAGAATAATGTTGCTCTACCCTAAATGGAATAATAACTGGAAGGAGTGTGACACACAGTCTGCACACCACAAATGTCAGTTCCTGTTAATATCACAAGGCTAGGCTGGGTGCAATGGCTCACGCCTGTAATGCCAGTACTGTAGGAGGCCGAGGCTGGTGGATCACTTGAGATCAGGAGTTCCAGACCACCCTGGCCAATGTGACAAAACCTCATCTCTACTAAAAATAGCAATATTGGTCGGGCGCAGTGGCTCACGCCTGTAATCCCAGCACTTTCTGAGGCCGAGGCAGGTGGATCACCTAAGGTCGGGAGTTCGAGACCTATCTGACCATCATGGAGCAACCTCCGTCTCTACTAAAAATACAAAATTAGCTAGGCGTAGTGGCCCATGCCTGTAATCCCAGCTACTTTAGAGGCTGAGGCAGAAGAATCGCTTGAACCCGGAAGGTGGGGGTTGTAGTGAGCCGAGATTTCGCCCTTGGACTCCAGCCTGGGCAACGCAAAAACTCTGTCTCAAAACATTTAACAAAATTAGTTGGGCGTGGTGATGGCAGGCGTCTGTAGTCCCAGCTACTCAGGAGGCTGAGGCACGAGAATCACTTGAACCCGGGAGGCAGAGGTTGCAGTGAGCTGAAATTGCACCACTGCAATCCAGCCTGGGTGACAGAATGTGAGTCTGTCTCAAAAAAACAAATCACAAGGCTGAGAAGATGGTCACAGTGGAGCTGGTCTGTGGTCTGTCAAGCACAGATCCCCTTACTCTGGAAACCCTCAGAGCCAGCTGGCTCCACTCTTGTGAAAACCTGCTTTTCAATCCTCAGTTTTCCTGAGTCCTCCTGGAATTTATTCCTCCATGGGGCAGACACAGTGGCTTACCCCGGTAATCCCAGCAGTTTGGGAGGCTGAGGCAGGTGGATCACTTGAGGTCAGGAGTTCAAGACCAGCCTGGCCAACATGGTGAAACCTCCGCCTGTACTAAAAATACAAAAATTAGCTGGCTGTGGTGATATGTGCCTGTAGTCCCAGCTACTAGGGAGACTGAGGTGGGAGGATCGCTTGAACCCTGTAGGTGGATGTTGCAGTGAGCAGAGATCTCACCATTGCACTCCAGCCTGGGTGACAGAGTGAGACTCTGTCTCAAAAAAGAAAAAACAAGCTGGGCATGGTGGCTCACGTCTGTAATCCAAGCACTTTAGAGGCCAAGGCGGGCGGATCACCTGAGATCAGGAGTTCAAGACCAGGCTGACCAACATGAAACCCCGTCTCTCTCTCTCTCTCTCTCTCTCCCTCTCTCTCTCTCTCCATATATATATATATATATATATATATATATATATATATATATTTTTTTTTTTTTTTTTAAAGAAAAGAAAAACAACAACAACAAAAACAACAAATCTTATTCTCCCAAATATCAGCTGTGCTGTAAATCCAAGATCATAAGCTCAGGTCTCCCAACTTCTGCTCCAAGTCCTTTTTTTCCTTTGTGGCAACCCCAATGTGGGATGGCGATTTTCCCCACACCCCAGTGCTCTGTGTGATGAATAAGGAAACGGAAGCACCCTAAATCGAATGGCTCTCCAATCAATCAAAAGGAGGAAATCAGACTCCTGCTTTTCACTTTGGCAACATTTTTTACAGTGATGCGCCTTTGGACTCTGTTTCTTCAACATCTCACCATGGACTGAAAAATGACGGGTAGAGAAAACCCCAGCAATTGTTCTCACTGCCTCCAGGAGCTCCGTGTATCCAGGTTCCTAAGGACTCACTACTGTAACCTCTCTGAGTTCTTCCCACTCCTCCCCTCTCGCTTCCTCTTTCTCCCCATGAATAGAATGGAAAACTCTGCACTTGGTCTAATGTGCCCAACTTGCCAGCTTGGAGTTACAATGTCAAAGACTTATTCTATTTGATGTTGATTCTCTGTGCTTCTTTGCCTTTAAAAAATCATATTTCTATTCTGCTTTCCTCCAATACTTAACTGGAAGGAGGAACAGATAGGGAGTTTTGTTTGTTTGTTTGTTTGTTTTTGTTTTTTAGATGGAGTTCCGCTCTTGTTTCCCAAGCTGGAGTGCAATGGCATGATCTTGGCTCACCACAACCTCCACCTCCTGGGTTCAAGCAATTCTCCTGCCTCAGCCTCCCAAGTAGCTGGGATTACAGGCATGTACCCCAGCCTCCCAAGTAGCTGGGATTACAGGCATGTACCCCTATGCCCAGCTAATTTTGTATTCTTAGTAGAGACAGGGTTTCTCCATGTTACCCAGGCTGGTCTTGAACTCCCAACCTCAGGTGATCCCTCTGCCTCGGCCTCCCAAAGTGCTGGGATTACAGGTGTGAGGCACCGTGCCTGGACTGGAGTTTGTTTTGTTTTTAAAGCTCTGTCAGAAAATGGGCTATGGAACCATAACATACAGTAGCAGTAGTAGCAATAAATACTAGAATTAATTCACACTAAATATTAGAATTGTTTGGGAATTATTGAACATATATATCAATAGTAAATATTAACAGCAAAACATTACATTTTATTTACATGCGTCATTAATTACACATTTTAAGAAGTGACAATTTTTACACGATATACATATTTCTTATAACACCAAAAATTTCTCTGAAGCCAAAGGAAAACAAATAATTATGTAGATACAGATAACTTGACAGCCCAAACACAGATGCACATGGAATCCTTCTATCTTCCTCCCTGTAAGAGACTGTGAATCGAACTCAGCGCAAAAGTAAATCTATCCCAACTGTCCTTTGGATAGAATATTTTTCAATAAAATATCAGTTATAATTAATTTTCATTATTAGGCCGGGCAGGGTGGCTCACACCTGTAATCCCAGCACTTTGGGAGGCTGAGGCAGGCAGATCACCAGAGATCAGGAGTTGGAGACCAGCCTGGCTAACAGGGTGAAACCCTGTCTTGACTAATATTAGCTGGGTGTGGTAGCCATGCCTGTAGTACCAGCTGTTTGGGTGGCTGAGGCAAGAGAATCACTTGAACACAGGAGGCAGAGGTTGCAGTGAGCCGATATCATGCCACTGCACTCCAGCCTGAGCAACAGAGCGGGACTCGTCTCAAAAAAAAAAAAAAAAAGAAAAAATGAAAAGCATCAAGGAAGAACTAGAATACTCTAAATGCTGTGCTCAGCCAAGAGAGCTCCTGGCAGAGCTGTGTTTATAACTGAGGTCTCTCTGCTGCCTAAACATGAGGGCAGATGATTGGAAGACAGAAAAAAAAAAAAGCTGATCCGTTCCCCGTCATCTGAGGGCAGGCAGTTTGGGGTTGCTGGGCAAGGCCACTTCATAGGGCAGTTTATCCTGTTGCAATCTGTTATTTGTCTGCCTTATTTTCCAGTGCCCAAGTACGGTCTCCATTTTGCACAAAACATTCCTGGCCCACAATTCCCTCTCTTCTTAGGTCATCAACCTGCCATTGGCAATAACAGATGCTTTACGTTCTAAATTCTCCAAGACTGTATAATATTGGGCAAAAAAAATGTTCCTCCTAGCCGGGCGCGGTGGCTCAAGCCTGTAATCCCAGCACTTTGGGAGGCCGAGACGGGTGGATCACAAGGTCAAGAGATCGAGACCATCCTGGTCAACATGGTGAAACCCCGTCTCTACTAAAAATACAAAACATTAGCTGGGCATGGTGGCGCGTGCCTGTAATCCCAGCTACTCAGGAGGCTGAGGCAGGAGAATTGCCTGAACCCAGGCGGCGGAGGTTGCGGTGAGCGGAGATCGCGCCATTGCACTCCAGCCTGGGTAACAAGAGGAAAACTCCGTCTCAAAAAAAAAATAATGTTCCTCCTAAGCAGATTTTTTTTCTTTTTCGGTGTAGTCAAGTTTCCCCTTTCTCTTGTATTTTTTTTAAATTTTTATTTATTTTATTATTATTTTTCTCTTGTGTTAAGAGTCTTTAAAATGTTGGGCAAAAGCAAGCACAAAGCCAGGTACCCAGACACTTATGATGTGAACTTGTCAGAAAAATGTTATCCCTTCATCTCGGCCTCTTCATCTTCTGTGGGAATGGTAAGGAATTTTTTCATATTTATTTATCAGTTCTTCATCTTTTAAGTGACCTTGATTCAGGATCTAGTTAGTATTTCTTAGACTTAATTTAAGTTGATTTTATTTAAAAAGAAAAACATTGGGCTGGGCGCAGTGGCTCACACCTGTAATCTCAACACTTTGGGAGACCGAAGTGGGCAGATCACCTGAGGTCAGGAGTTCGAGACCAATCTGGCCAACATGGTGAAACCACATCTCTACTTAAAAAATACAAAAATTAGCTGGACGTGATGGCAGGCACCTGTAATCCCAGCTCTCAGGAGGCTAAGGCAGGAGAATTGCTTGAACCCGAGAGGTGGAGTTTGCAGTGAGCCAAGATCACACCACTGCACTCCAGCCTGGGCCACAGGAGACTCTGTCTCAAAAAGAAAAACAAAAATCAAAAACCAACCAAACAAAAAACATTGGCTGGGCATAGAAGCTCACACCTGCAATCCCAGCACTCTGAGAGGCCA